AAGGACTTCAGATGCCTCCACCTCTGCCAACCCGGATGCCCTGTGATGCCCCGCAGAGAGCAACATCGTTGCACCCCACCCCCAACCCGATCCAGGTGAGTGCTCATTCTGGAGAAGGGTCAGGCAGATCCTGGGAAGGCTGCTTTCCCCTGCTCCAGGCCTTCATTTCTGGGCTCCCAGCAAGAACAGGTTTTTCTGGTTCCTGCTACACACCCCAAGCTCCATCCAGGACACTGGGGTTGCTCTGGAGATGAGGAGACCTGGGGAGGATGGCGGCTTGTATCACCAGGCCACGACGCTGATTGAGACAGGCCCTGCTGTGCCCAGCTCATGGTTAGAAACCGCAGCAGCAGGATGGGTGAGCTCATGAATGGGCTGAGGTGGAATTGGCCTCCCAAAGCCAGTCACCTGAGTTCTTTGTTTTCAGGTGGTTCTAGACTTCCTGGGCTTTGCCAGACGACACTCTTTGGATGCAGCCAATCTCTGACTCAGAACAGGGAGTATCAGAGTTAGGAGGGGTCTTAGAACAAAGAATGTCAGAGCAGGGAGTAGCCTTAGAATGGGATGGCAGAGCAGGGAGTGGCCTTAGAACGGGGTGGCAGAGCTGGGAGAAGCCTTGGAACAAGGAATGTCAGAGTTGGGGGGGGGCTTAGAACAGGGAATGTCACAGCTGGGATGGGGCTTAGAACAGGGAATGTCATAGCTGGGAGGGGCCTCAGAACAGGGGAAGGCAGAGCTGGGAGGGCAGAAAGAACCTTAGACCATCTATTTTCTCCTACACATAATAACCGTTTTGTAGAAGGAAATGAAGACCCAGAATTGTAAGTGAGTCACTCTAAGTCAAATAACCAGCATTGGCAGAATGGGACTTAGAACCCTGTTCTCCTGTTCCAGACTCCAGGGTTCTCATCAGCCCCTTGCCAGGTCCCAGTCTGTCTGGCCCTGGTTTTTAATTTACCCTATGCTTTGAGCTCTCCTGGGTGCTGGGGCCTGAGAAAGAGAACAGGGCATTTCTCTCCCCTTCTCTCTCCCCCCTCCCAACTCTGTACCCAAGGTGTTCTCCCCCAGTGGGTGGTGGCCGTGACTCATGGATCTGGCTCAGGCTGGATTTTAAAAATATTTATTTTCAAATGTTTGGGTTTGAGCAAAATATTGTAATTGGCTGAGTGGCTAATTCCCATCCATCCATTTTTCTCCCCCCTCCCCCACCTTCCCCTCCCTCTCTAGAAGGGGCGGCTGTGGACCAGTGTTTGCCCTCTTCACCCCCCAATATTCGCCCCTCTCATCCCCTCCATCCCCCCAGTTCCAGCTCCTTCCTTGGCCCCTGACACTCCAGGGCCTCTATTAGTAAAGTTCTTCCCTCCAGGCCTGGATCCAGCACCGTGTCATCCTCCTCATCCTTACTGTGGGCCGAGAGATGCAGAGCCCTGGGTTTAGAGCTGGAAGGACCTGTAGGGGGCATCTAGTCCAATTCCCTGTTGTTTTCTTACTGTTATTGATAGGAGGGGAACAAACCTTTATGAAGCACCTACTATGTGCCAGGCAGTACGCTAAGCACTATACAAATATTATCTTATTCGATCCTCACAATAACTCTGGGAGGTAGGCGCCATTATTTTCCCCATTTTACAGATGAGGAAACTGAGGCAGACAGCAATGAAATTACTTACCCAGGGTCACACAGCCAGAAAGTATCTAAGACGGGATTTGAAGTCAGGTCTTCCTGACTTCAGGCCCAGTGCCCTATTCACTCTCTTCAGCTTCAACTCCGTGTACAGTCATGGGCCCACATAGGTGCATCAGCATGTACACAGGGGCACACACGTATACACATACACAGAAAAAGTCAGTCGTGTATATGTATCCATCCTCAAACACATGCTCAGCAAAGACACACATGTGCATTACTATGGACATTATGTTTGTCCCCAAAACAGAAACTGGGCAGCTAGATGGTGAAATGGATGGAACAACAGGCCCAGAGTCAAGACCTGAGTGTAAATGCAGCCTCAGACACTTACTATCGGGGTGACCCTAGGCAAGTCACTCGATCCTCTTTGCCTCAGTTTCTTCATCTGTAAAATAAGTTGGAGAAGGAAATGGCCAACTACTCCAGTATCTTTGCCAAGAGAACCCTAACTTGGCTCACAAAGAGTCAGATGTGACTGAAAAACACCTGAACAAAAAGGGAATTCAGTAGGGCCAAATATAAAGTGCTGCACATGGGTCCAAAAAGTTAATTATCTAACTCTAGAATTTCATTCAACAAACATGTTTAAAGTACTTACTATGTGCGAGGCGTCTACTATGTGTTAGGCATAGGAATAAAGGCCAAAATGAAATGGTCCCTTCAAAGAATTCACATTTAACTGAGCCGTTTAGTACTGGAGTGGGGTGCCTTACGAGGTAGTGAGTTCCCTGTCACTGGTGGTCTTCAAAAGAAGGTTAGGGAGACTCAACTTTCAGGTAAGAATCAGAGAAGGCAAACTCTGAAGTTCCTTGTACTTCTCTGATTCTAAGACCACAAGGCATTCTTGTGCATGCGTGTGCGCACGCGCACGTACACACACACACACAACACACACACACATGCACACACAGCTCTGACATTCTGTTTTACAACACTCATTTTACAGATGAGAAAACTGAGACTCAGAGCAGCTAAACATCTTATTTCAGTGGCACAAAGTGGCAAAAACAGCCTCTGGGTCTCAGAGAGGCAATAATTATTGTCCCCATCATACAGATGAGAATACTAAGGCTCAGACTAGTCAACCATCATCATAACAGCTAGTAATGTTATCATTTTATTTGTTTTCTCACACTCTTCATAGGAAGGAAAGAAGGAAGGAAGGAAGGAAGGAAGGAAGGAAGGAAGGAAGGAAGGAAGGAAGGAAGGAAGGGAGGGAGGGAGGGAGGGAGAGAGGGAAGGAAGGAAGGAAGGAAGGAGGGAGGAGGGAGGGAGGGAGGGAGGAAGGAAGGAAGGAAGGAAGGAAGGAAGGAAGGAAGGAAGGAAGGGAGGGAGGAAGGGAGGAAGGAAGGAAGGAAGGAAGGAGGGAGGGAGGGAGGGAGAGAGGGAAGGAAGGAAGGAGGGAGGGAGGGAGGGAGGGAGAGAGGGAAGGAAGGAAGGAAGGAAGGAAGGAAGAGGGAGGGAGGAAGGAAGGAAGGAAGGAAGGAGGGAAGGAAGGAAGGAAGGAATGAAGGAAGGAAGGAGGGAAGGAAGGAAGGAAGGAATGAAGGAAGGAAGGAAGGAAGGAAGGAGGGAAGGAGGGAGGGAGGGAAGATAGGAGGGGAAAAAAAGCATTTATGAAGCACCTACTATGTGCCAGGCACTTTGCTGAGCTCTTTACAACGATCACCTCATTTGATCCTCACAATAGCCCTGGGTGCTATTATTATCCCCCACTTTGCAGCTGAAGAAACCAAGTCTGGGTGGCCCAGGGTCATTTGGCTCATAGGAGGGGGAGCTGAGCTTCAGACCCTTCCTGTGAAACCAAGCTCAGCCATCCTTCCCTCACACCAGGCAGGGAAGCTGCTGCCATCCCACCCTGTCCCCCAACTGAGTTCCATGTGACTGAATCTTAATTACTGCACATTTCTCCCCAGCTGGGCCATGCCGTGTGTTGGCCCCTTATCTGCATCCCAGTGGGCTGACACATAGAGTGCTGGCAGGAGGTCTGGAGGCTGCCACTTTGGGCCAGGCTGGGGGGCCATGGGCCCCTGAGTTGGCCAGGCCCGGCCCTTGGGGGATAATGCATTAGAGATCTGTGACAGGCAGCATCACTCTCTTGCCGACCCCTTCCTCTTTCTGGGGCCTTTCGCTGGGCCTGGCCGCCTGAGAATCTGCTGAGTCTTCAGCCACACGCAGCAAGAGCAGACTCTGCTCCCCCAGACCCCTGGGGCTCTTGGCTGGTGTCTTGGTGAGGACCCCGGCTCCAGGGGGCTGCCGGCTCTGGGGAGCGCCTGGTGAGGATGGGACCCTGGTTACACCCATCGACCTATCACCTGCCAGTTCAATCCATTCTGGTTTAACCGGGAGTATCTGCCTTCGTCAGCCCAGTAAATATTCAGATGCCTACTCTAGCCATAACGTAGTGCCTTCAGATTAACAGATTTTTCAGTATTTGAGAAGGGACATTGAAAGAGGTCCATGCCTGCCCTGCTGGAAAAAGGACAGTCTCCTCATTGCCCCTGGCACACACCATCCTTAAGGACTAGCCGCCAGAGGACCTGGGTTCAAACTCTGCAACTTACAACTCGTGAGCCCATCGGCAAGCCCCCCCAGCCCTCTTTGGGCCTCGATGCTGTCCTCAGTACGAAGGGTTGGACCGATGACCTTTACTGGAAGAAGCAGAGGTTAGCCCTTAATCGATGCGTGTTGCAATGCACGCTAGGAGGTCAGCCTTGCTCGGGCGCTCGGAGCTTTGCTCCTGGAATACGGAACATTGTTCGCGTCGCCCCCAGACCCCGGCTTTCTCGGCCCCTTCCAGCCAACCCCCGCAGCCCGCCGCGTCCAGGGACTCTGGCAGGCTCCTTCTGGCAGAAGAGGAAGAGGGCGGAGCCAGAGGTAGGGGAACTCAGCTGGGAACAAAGGGGAGAGAAAGAGAGAGGCAGAGGGAGGGGAGAGCGAGCTCAGCCTCCCGCCCCAGAGCCACCTCGGCCAGCCTCCCTCCGCGCGCGGTTGTTTCTCGGGCCCGGCCGTGGAGAGGGCCCCGGCAAGTCCGCGCTGGCAGACTCGAGGAGGGGAAAGGAGGGTGACGGAAGAGGAGAGGAGCAGAGGACTACAACCCCCAGGAGGCTGTGCGCCAAGTCGGCCGGCCATGCCTCGCAGGGAGGAGCTGCAGTGGAGGGGCGTGACCTAAATTAAATCGATCCAACCGCGGGAGGGAATAGGCTGGGGTGGGCGGGGCGCGGCGGCGGATTGGCGGCAGCAGAGGCCGAGGGGCGGGCCGGGGCGGGGCCTGCGGAGCCGGACTCAGGACGGGCGGGGTGGGACGGCCAGTGTCCCCGGGAGACGGTGGCGGAGCGGACGGCGGGAGGCGAGCAGCGGGACGCGATCCGAGTCCGGCCATAGAGACCGAGCGGGGCGCGCGGAGCGGACGGAGCCGGTGCATGGGCCTGGGCGCACGGGGCTGTGCGGGCCGCCGAGCCCAGGTGAGTGTGCGGGCGGCCGGAGCGGGAGGACCGCGTAGACGGGCCCCGGGGGAAGCACAAGTCCGGGTAGACGGGCCCTGGGGGATGCTCAGAACCGCGTAGACTGGCCCTGGGGGAGGCACAGGACCGTGTAGACAGGCTTTGGGGGAGGTGCAGGACCGTGTAGATGGACCCTGGGGCCGCGTAGACCAGCCCTGGAAGTATAGCAGGAACGAGTAGACGTGCTCTGAGGAATGGCCCGACTGTGTAGATGGACCCTGGGGGAGGGCCGTATAGACAGGTCCGAAGGTGATGATGGACTGTACCACATAGACGGGTCTAGGGGATGGCCAGGACGGGGTCCATAGCCGGTCCTGGTGGAAGGACAGCCCTTTGTCCCGGGATTCGACAGGAAGGGCCACTTAGGTGGTCAGCAGGACAAGGGCGGGAAGGCCCCAAAGGTCTGGAGGGACGAGGACTGCGGGGCCAGGTCCAGTGGGACAGAAGGGAGATTGGAATTGCGAGCAGTCATTCTTCCCAGGAGGGAGCTGCTTAAATGCGATGGGGGCACAGGGGACCCCAGACTGATGAGGAAGGAGCGGTGCTCATTGGACCTGTGGGGAGACAGGAGGAAGGGGCGCCTGAGACTTTCTCAGTGCTTGGCCGGTGCTGAGCACCTAGGAGACACTTCACAGGTGCTTCCTCACTGCCTGGCAGTCCCTGAAGGCCCATGGCTCCTGCCTGAAGAGAGACGGCTCCTCAGCAGTTGGGGAAGGGCACCACCGAGGGTCTCAGGGGCCAGAATGGCTTAGATGGTCAGGAGGGGATGGGGCCACAGGCAGGGGGGGTAAAGAATATGATGGAGGTCGGATGAACAGACCATGGAGTAAAAGTGACCCAGTGATGAGGGGCCCTGTGGACAGGGTGAGGGGGTGAGTTACTGAACTGTGATGCAGGTTTCCGGGCCTCCGTCACCTTCCTCCAGACTCTGACGCTAGGGGAGGCCAGCACCCGTTTTTAGGGCAGAGGACAAACCCTGCCCAGCCCCCCCACACACCCCCACTCCCCATCCCACGTGACTGGCAGCTCCCACACACACCTACCATGCAGCTGGTCCTCCACATGGAGGATTGGGAGCCCCTGACTCAGCCTGAGTCTGACACCTGTTAGTCATAACCTCCGCTCACCTGGAAATCCTTGCATGGATGAGGGAGAGGGGGTGCTGAGCCCTAAGGAGACCATGAGGACGAAACTGCCCTCCATAGGTGACCCTGACAGGCCAGCCTGAGCAGGGAGGGTAGAGTCCCTACTGTACCTGCCAGATAGGTCCCCCAACCAGGAGGCCTCCCCCTCCCCCCCAGTCATGCCTTCAAGAGAGTGCTCAAGGGCGTGATTGGATTGAAGGCATGGGTTTGGGTGACTCCCTAGTGACTGGCAGGCAGAGGCCTTTCTGGGGTGGCTTGGTCCTGTAAGGGGGGCTGACTCTCTGTAGCCCTGGGAGCCGCAGTGGTGGGGTGCGCAGAATGGGGAGGAGCTCCCCAGGTGATCTGGCCTATGGAGGAGCAGAGAGCATGACAGAATCAGCCTCAGGCTGAGTCAGGGGCTCTGGTCCTGTCTAGATTGGAGAGAAAGAAGAAGAAGGCTATCCATGGGAGGCGGTACTCTTTCCCTATGTGGGTGGGAGCCGCCAGCCACATGGGATGGGTGGGTGCTCTGGAGCTGGGAGAGCTGGGCAGCTCTGCCCTAGAAGTGGGTGCTGGCCTTCCCTGGCATCAGAGTCTGGAGGGAGGTGATGAGGAAGGAGAGTGGAAGGCATCCTGGTTCAGTGAAGTCTTGGACTCCAAATGGCCCTGTTCTGAGCCCCTGCCCCTCTCCCACTCATGAGCTGTGTGACTCTGGGCAGGTCAATCCCCCTCTCTGGGCCTAATGTGTGAAGTGAGAGCTTTGGACATGGTGATTGCTAGGATCCCTCCCAGCTCCAGACTCCTCCAGCCTGAGCCCCCTGTTCTGAAAAAGGAGCAGGAGGCTGAGCCTGGAGCCCAAGAGACTAGGGTTCAAATCCTGCCTCAGACACTTGGCAGCTCTGGGGGCCTGGGTGGACCTCTGAACCTCAGCCTGATTCTGTCTGTAGTCCTTACCTCTGGGATGGCTCTGAGGCTCAAGGAAAAAGACGGGTGGGAAGCGTCTTACCAAGCTGATGGCAATGGACGACTTCTGCTGTTGTCCTTGTGAGGGACCCTGGACCCGGACTTAGACAACGATCTTTTTTTTAATGTTGAGAAAATGGAGTCACGCAGAGAGGAAGGGTCCTGCCCATGGTCACTGGGTCACATGGAGGAAGAGGCAGAGCTGGGATTCAGACCCAGGTCATGTGGCTACAGAGCTAGGCACTTTCCCACTTTACTGTGACGTCCCCTGTTCTGAGGCCCCTCCCGGCTCTGACGTCCCCTGTTCTAAGGCCCCTCCCGGCTCTGACGTCCCCTGTTCTAAGGCCCCTCCCGGCTCTGATGTCCCCTGTTCTAAGGCCCCTCCCAGCTCTGACATTCCTTGTTCTAAGCTCCCTCCCAACTAAAACGTTTTGTGAGCTCTGACTCCAGACGGCCAGTTGGGGACACCAGTTCCTTATGCATTCAAGGAAGAGTGATGAAATGCCTTTTGTGGTCAGGTGCTTGGTTAGCTCCAGAATGGGGGATCCTGTCCCCGGGACGGCCCCCCTCTAAAAGAGGAAAGGCATGAGGACTGGTCATGGGGGAGCCCGAGTCCATGCACTGTGGGCAGAGATGATCACGATGGTGATGAGAGGTCACACAGTGTCCTCGGGTTTCCAGAGCACATTCTACGTGCTCTCGTTCATTCCTCACAAAGGCCTTTGAGGCAGGTGGCCCAAGCATCCCCATTGAACAGATGAGAAATCCAAGGCCTCTGAAAAATTAGCTGTCTAGCATTGAAGAGAGAAGCACTTGAACCTGGGGCTTCTTACTTCCTTTCCATGATACCACGCTGGCTATAGCCTGGTAGAGACTGGAGGAGAGAGGCCCAGGGCCCTTGCGGAGACTGTCGGAGCCGGACGGATGGACAGACGGGACTGTGCTTGGACAGGGAGCCGCCTGGCCCCAGCCTCACGTCCCCTTCTTCCCATGGTCCCAACTGGGCTTTGTTGCAGACCCTCCTAGGAACGCCCGAGTGCTGGACCTCAGCAGCCAGCCAGAGCTGCCCCTGGCATCGTCCCTGAGAGCAAGCAGAGCTTGGAAGCTGTAAGATGGCGGACGAGGGTCTGGCCGGGCTGGACGAAGGAGCCCTGCGGAAGCTGGTGAGTGAGCTCTGGAGGCCCCTGCCCTGCCCCAGGGCACTGCCATCCCCTTCCTCCCGTCATCCCCGGGGGCTGCGGAGGCAGACTGCACCCCTCTCCAACCCCCCTGCCCTAGAGGCTCTGAGAGAGGAAGGACTGTATCCCGGGTCCTAAAGCTGGTGAAAGACCGAGCTGGGACTGAGTCGGGACTTCTGAGCCTGGAGGCCAGGGCACCAGTGACTCCTGGTGCTTGGGCGTGGGGATGCCTCGTCCCCTACGTGTGCAGGGCATTCGCCGTCCTTTTAGACCTCATAACAGCACCACGAGTCAGACCGAGCAGGTAAAATCACCCCCACTTTACAGATGAAGAAACTGAGGCCCAGAGGAAGCTCACAGTGAATTAAGGGCAGAGCTGGGACTGAGAACCTGGAAGTGCTGATTTCTAGGCTGTTCGGTCTTGCTCTAGAATAGGGGCGCAGGGGAAAGGCTTCCCTTTGTTTCAAGGAATGGAACTGGGGGGCCTGGGGGGGGTCTTGCAGCCAGGAATGTGGTTTCACTAGGTCAGCTCTGGAGCCCCTGTGGAATTTACCTCCCTCTGTGCCAAGCTGCAGAGGCAGAGTGTTTTAGCATGTCTGGAGCGGGCAGCCCCGCCTCTCCCCTCCCCCCTGATTAAACAGTAAAGGAGTCATGGGTTCTGCCCCGGGCGGGAGCAGGTGCACGGTAGGGTCCGCTGCCACCCAACCCTGCTCTGGGGCCAAACTGCACCCCCGTGCCCTCTCCACCAACCCCCAGGCAGCACCTCCCTGGGGCAGGCAGCCTCAGGAGGCCCCAGCCAAGGGCACCAGCTAGCCTCCCTTGTCCTTCCCTCTGGACAGGTCCAAGAACCTGGGCCCTCCCAGGTCAACTCCAGAGTGGGCCTGAGGACCATGACACCTCCTCTTGATCCCCCTTAGAACAGGGGATGTCACTCAGCCTTGAGAGATAAGTCTGGCAGCCTCTGAAAACAGCCAGCCCAGGCACATCCCACAACTGGCCCGGGGCCTGGGAACGTCAGACTTGGAGTCAGAAGGCTGGGTCCGTGCCCCAGCTCAGCTGGTTACTATACGTGTGGCCTTGGGAAAGGCCCTGGGCCTCTCTGGGACTCATTCCTCCTCATCTGTAGAATGGGAGGCATGGACTGCACCGTATCTGAGTCTCTCCCAGGTGTGACATCCCCTGTTCCGAGGCTCCTCCCAACTCTGACACTCCCTGTTCTAAGGCCCCTCCCAGCTCAGACACTCCCTGTTCCAAGGCTCTAAGGTTCTAATCTGGGAAGCTCTGACATTCTATGGTCCATGCTCTAGGGCCCCTCCCAGCTCAGACATCCCCTGTTCTAAGGCCCTAAGGTTCTAAGCTGGAAAGCTCTGACATTCTGTGGTCCACGTTCTAGGCTCCTCCCAGTTCTAAGTCTGTGATCCTGGGATACTGTGAAGGTACTTCCCCTCTCTGGGCCTCAGCTTCCCCCTCTGTAAACAAGAGCACTGTAGCAGCTGCTCTCTAAGGGCCCCCTGTGCTGCACCATTCAGGACCTGTCATCTCTGGTGAAGACTTGGGTTCTAGTTCCGGGTCTGGGAGTTTCTAGCCAGGTGACTCTGAGTGGCTTTTTGCCTCGATGTCTCCATCTGAAATGATGATTCCTCCTCTGCCAGCGTGTTTGGGAGGAGAGGCTGACCCAGGTGGGAGCTGCCAGCAGGATTCTTTGGTCCTAGGGTGGGGGGGTCAGTCAGCAGAGCCCCGACACCCCCACGGGGCGTATCTCCATACAGAGAGCCCGTCCACGCCGGTGTCCTCAGACCCCCAGCCACGTAGCAGGAGCTCCAGGCTGCAGCCGGGCCTTTTGCTGCCCCCTTGTGTGCCCAGGGAATCTCTTGATGAGACTCAGGCAGAGCTCAGTCCGAGGAGGCCTTTATAGGGGCCCCCTGAGGGCCCCAGGATGAAGAGAAGACAGGGTCCCTGAGGTCAGGGCCCTTCCTCAGCTGAACACGGAAGACCAGTGTGCTGATGGCCTTCTCTTTGGAGCCGGGCCTCGGTGACTGGGCACCACAGTAGTCTGGATTTCCAGCGGCCCCAGTGTCCTGCCCACGTACTTTAGCCATGAGGAGACTGAGGCCTCGAGGCGGAGGGGCTTCCATGCAAGGACAGGCAGATAGGAAGAAACATGAAATCTGACTCCAGATCCGTGAGCTCGGTGCCCAGGAGAGGCTCCTTCCTCTCCCCCCCACCCACAGCAGGTGCCTTGGCCTTCCACCCCCTTCCCCCCAAGGCAGCTGGGCGGCCCCCCACCCCACCCCCCAGGAAGGGTCAGGAGGAGTTAAAGATTTACTGCTGCCTGAGGCTCAGAGATGAGCAGCTGGTGACCAGGGCAGGCCGAAGCTTTCCAAACCTGGCCAATGGTCCAAGGTTGGAGCAGCTGCACCCCCTCCTTCCTGCCCCTCCATCTCATGGGGCTAGAGGCTAGCGTGTCCACCGAGGGCACCGTTGCTGCTTCACCTGCCAGGGGCCCAGGGAGAGACCCCAGAGCAGCGTGGGGGAGAGAGGAAGACCCCAATCACCCCCTGGGACCCAGGGGAAAACACAGCTCTGTTTTTGCCTCTGTAAAATGGAGATGGGGTGCCTGGGGGAGGGGGAGGGGTGATCTCTAAGGCCCCCTCCCAGCCCTGACATCCCCTGTTCTAAGGCCCTTCCTCGCCCTGACATTCCTTGTTCTAAGGCCCCCTCAGCCCTGACCTTCTCTTTTCTAAGGCCCCTCCCAACTCTGACATTCTCTGTTCTAAGGGTCCTCTTCAGCTTTGACTGCTCTCATCCATCCATTCATTCATTCAAGATGCATTTATTAAGCACCTACCATGTACAAGGCGCCGTGCTTAGTACTGGCTCTACCAAGATAGATGGGACCCGTGACTCCCATGACAGAGCCTGTTGTCTGATCCAAGGAGCCTGAGCCAGACAAAGAGGAGAGGTTGCAAGGGGTCAGTGTGAGTCAGAGTGCTCAGGGAGCCAGATTGGGGGGGCCTAGAGGGCCAGGTTGGGGGGGGAACCTAGGAAGCCAGGTTGGAGGGGCCTGGAGGGCCAGGTTGAGGGGGCTAGGAAGACAAGTTGGGAGGGGCCTGGGGGACCAGGAGCTACTAGGCTTCCCAGCCCCTCATGCTCTTGACCGCTCCAGTGGGTCTAGGAAGGCAGCTGGGAGGGGGGTGGGAGGGGACTGTGCTTAGAGTCACCAGAGCATCCTCAGGAGGGGAGAAGGGGCCGGCAGGCCGGGGGCAGCAGGCAGGAAGGGAGGGATGCCAGGACGGGACAAGAGGAAGGAAGACAGGGACAGGAGACAAGGCTGCTGACAGAGTGCAGGCCTCTGGCTCAGGCGAGGGCAGGATGGGGATGGGAGCCACAGAGCGCTGGCTTTGGCGGCCTCTCAGTATGTCCACTTCCTGCAGGGAGGAGAGACCAGCGTAGTCACTTGGAACATGAGCGGTCCAAGCCTTGAATGCCAACATCAGCCCTGCTCCCGGCCCCCTCAGGCCCTCATGCAGCACTACTTTGTGTTTCTGTCTCTGGGGCAGTGTTGGAAGGGGAAGAGCATTTGGGTTTGGGGGCTCCAGGCTTGGCTCTGCTGCTGTTTCATGCGGGCCTCTGACCCCCTTCCTTCCTCCCCTCCCCCATTCTTCTCTTCTTTTCCTTCATGTCTTCCTCCTCGTTTCCCTCCCTATCCCCAGAGGGTCAGACTTCAGGCCTGCTCGGAACCGCTGCTCAGACATCTGGCCTTTTCCAATTCCTCCTCCCCTATTTTAGAGTGTCTCCAAGCACCCTGGTTTCTATTGTCCATCTCCCCCATTAGAATATGAGCTCCTTCAAGCAGGGACTCACTCTTTGTGTCTTTAGGGCCTGGTGTACAGTAGGGGCTTAATTAATGCCTGCTGATTGAAGTCTCACTCTGGCTCTTCAGAATTCCTAAGTGAGGCAAGGCAGTCTGGTCCTCACCTTAGGCAGCTGAGGAGAGGCAGGGCCCTGGGGGCCATTCAGCTCCTAGCTGAGCCCTGGGTTTAGGCTAGATGTAGGCAAGGTCCTGCCCTCCTGGGGCTGCCAGTCTAAGAGAACAATGAGACACAATTGTGGATGATGGTAATACCGCCATGATCTGGTAAGCTCTCTAGAATGTGGCGAAGGGTTGTGTGAAGTCTGATGGGGAAAGAGGGGACCCACCTGGGGGTGGTCAGACAGGGCTCCTTTTTTTTTTTTTTGGCTATTCAATGAGGTTAAGTGACTTGCCCAGGGTCACACAGCTAGTAAGTGTTATGTGTCTGAGGCTGGATTTCAACTCAGGTCCTCCTGAATCCAGGGCCGGCTGCCTCATGGAAGGCCCCTTCTAAGGGATGACATCAGAAGGGGTCAGCAAGTGAGGAGGGAAGCAAAGGATTGGAGGTGGGAAAGCTGGTGGACTGAAGAAGGAGTCCCTGTCCTCTCTGCCCAGAGCTCCCGGGATCTCCCAGGCTAGGAGGGTCTCTCCCCAAGGGGGTCTCCAGAGTGAGCCTTGGGTGGTAGGGAAAGCGATGTCCAAGGCCATAGTGGCAGATCCCCTCTTTTCACAGGTGGGGAAACTCAACCCCAGAGCAGCAGGGCCAGGCTAGGACCCAGGCTGTGGAAAGAGGGCCGCCCCCAGTGTAACCTTGGATAAGCCCATGCACTTCTCTGGGCCTCAGTTTCCCCCTCTAGGGAGGGGTCCTCTACAGCTGGAGATATAGGATCCTAGGACGCTCGGCCAGGGCTCCGTCTTGTTCGTTCTCTGTGGCCAGCCAACCTTGTCAGCTAGAGCCCTGCATGTCTGGTTTGAATCATAAGCTGGAGAGAGGGAGGGAAGGATGTAGAGATGAATGGACGGATGGATGGATGGATGAATGGATGGGTGGACAGATGGATGGACAGGGGGGCAGAGGGGACTTCCCCTTCCCTCTTCCTTCCTCTTTCCTTCCTCCCTCCTTTCCCTCCTCCTTTCCTTCCTCCCTCTCCCCCCCTCCCCTCTCTTCCCCTCCATTCTTCTCTTTTCCTTCCTCCTCATTTCCCTCCCCATCCCCTCTCTCCCTCCTCCCTCTCTTTCCTGGGGGGAAGGGGAGCAGAGGACAGACCTCTCGGTTTCTTGCCCCCGGCACCCCCAGGGCATGTGGGGGCAGTTGCTGGGGGAGGGGAGAGTGTCTCAGACCCCTCATTTTCCTGCCTTGGCACAGGGATCCCAGCTCCCCCGGCTGCTTCTTGGCTTCCAGTCCCGACCAGGGGCTCTGGGAGAAGACAAGTCCATATAAGGGAAAACTCCGCTCCCAGGCCACCGCTCAATCACGGGGGCTCCTGTCCCCACCTCCCAGCCCTGTGGCCCCTCAGCCTCTTCTGCCTCCCCAGCTTTCCCAGGCTTCCCTAGGGCTCTCCCCCTCCACCCCCCTCCCCTGACTGCCCCACGCTCCCTCTGTCCTGGGAGGTTTGGGCTCTCTCAGCCCCCTTCCTGTTTCCTTCCCACACATTCCTGAGGGCTGGGCGGGGGGGGGGGGGGGGGGGGGGGGGGGGGGGGGGGGCGGCTGCACGTGGCAACAGCTGGGCCTGGGAGGGGCTGGGGATCCCAGCTGGGACTGGGGCTAGGCTTGTGTCTGGCACGGGGATGGGAGTGGAAAGAGTGAGCAGCCAGAACAGAGACCCTGAGGACCAGCCACAGGGCCCCCCCCCACACTCCTGGGCCCAGCCTTGACCATCTGCAATGTCCACCATCCAAATCACCCCCTCCTGTACCCTGGAGCCCCAGTCCCTGCAGCCTCGCCTCCCCCCAAACCTGGAGTTATAGTTGCCTATAGCCCTTGGCCACTCTAGCACCCCCTGGCTAGCCAAACCTTTCCTTTCCTCCTGGACCTCCCCCCAGCCTGGGCCATCCCAGGCCCCACTGTCAGCCTGTGCCGTGGCTGCCCGCTTGCCCAAACCCTGGTCTTCTGAGCCTCCCCTGCCTCCAGCCTTAATCTTCCACTCCAGCCCCAAAACCTGGGATTCTGGGGTCCCTTTTCCCAACCTCAGCCATCCTAGCCCAGCCACTGAGTAGTGTAATAGTTTGAGGTACACAAAGCCACGCCTAGACTGCCCGGGTGCCCTGGCTCAGGGGTGGGGCCCGACTGCCAGTGGGCACCATTGGCTGATTCAAACAAGTCAGCTGCTGCCCACGGGCACTCCCTGCTTGGCGAGAGGGGAGGGGCGAGATATGTAGGCGCAGCAAAGCCAGAGGCTGACAGATGATGACAGACTGATAGTACCTCAGCTCTCAGAAACTCCAGGGGCCTGAGAACAGGGGATGCCAGAGAGGAGAGGGGCCTGAGAACAGGGCATGTCAGAGCCAAAAGGAACATGCTTCTTCTTTTCCCTGGCTCCCCCACACCTTTGGAAGGCCCCCAACTTAAGGCATTAGACAGGAGCGAAGCTGTCCTTGAGAGAGGTCAGGGTTAATGACCCTGTGGCCCCCTCTGTCATGAACCGTGAAGGGAGGACCCCACAAGCTGCCCCCTGGCCTGGATCTCGGGACCTCGCCTTCAGCCTTCATCACTTCGTGCCCATCTGTCCGGCGGGGGGGGGGGAACTCCTCCCAGGCCATGGTTTGTGAAACAGGGGGGCTCCACTGCCAGGCTATATGGAGCACTTCCATTCAGCGAGCACTAATTAAGCCCTGACTGTATACCAAGGCACCAAGGATACAGAGGCCAAACAAGACAGTGCCCCTGGGTGCCCAGAATGTCTTCCAGGAGTTTACATTCTATCAGAGGGAAACAGTACAGTAGGAACAGCAGTACCCAGGCTCGGAGTCAGGACACCAGAGTTCCAATCCTAGCTCGGCCATAGATTTGCTCTGTGACCTTGGACAAGCCACATAACTACTCTGGACCTCAGTTTCCTCCTCTGTAAAAATGAAAGGCCTGCCCTTCTGGCTCTTCACTATGGCCCTGGGAGAACTGACACTGAAGTAGCTGTGTTCCCTGGGCAGAGTCTTCCCCTCCCCAGGCCTCAGTTTTCTCCTCTGTAAAATGGGTGCTGTCTCTGTCGGCAGCACTTGGATGACAGGCCCCCGGCTGTTGGGAGGATCAATAAGAAGGGGAGGGAGGCCTCTTGGGAGCTGTTACTCTATCCTCTCCCCCACCCCACGTCCCCAGCTCAGAAGGCTTTTCCTCCCAGTGTCTGACAGTGGCTTGTTCTAGCTGGCTGTAAGACTGAAGCTGGCCTGGGCGGCTGCCCCTCCCCTCCCACCCCTGCAGCAGACAATAACCCTTTGTACTTTTCCTGTTGACTCATTAACCATCTCCCTGCTAGGAGGAGGAGAGGGACCTACCAGAGCCTGTAGGGCCCTGCTAGGATTTAGAACTAGGCAGGGGCTTAAAGACCCTCCAACCCACCTCCTCGCCATTTTCCTGGGTAGTTGGCTTTCCCTGCCAGGTTTTGATGATTGAAATAGAATTGCCCCTGCCCCCACTCCAGTAGAGCATAAAATCCCTGAGGGCAGGGACTGGTTTTTGGTTTGTTTGGGGGTCCCTGTGGTGCCTGCCTCTGGGTCTGGATTAGATCTGTGCCCGAAGCCAGCAGGGCCTCAGAGGCCACAGGTGTGCCGGAGCGCGCACCCTCGGGGGCAGCAGGCCTGACGTTCAGGTCCTGCCTCCTGCTCTGACCAGGACTGTTCATGTCTAACCAGGGATGCCTGAGCTCAATCAGAGCGTGGACCCTGAGGAGGAGGGGACGTTAGACCGACCCACGTAGTAGGGGGGGGTCTGGCCCCCAACTCCTTCCCTTCCTGTTCGCTCAGGCTGGGCCTGGGAGGGTTCTTAGAACATGGAGCAGCATCTGTCAGAGCTGGGAGGGACTTTTAGAACAGCCTGTCAGAGCTGGAAGCCTTAGAACACAGAATGTCAGAACTGGGCAGTTTTGAAAACCTAGAACAGAGGCCATCAGAGGTAGGGATGGGAGAGGAGGAGAAGACCCTAGAGGTGATGTAGGCCAGGGTTTCCTCACCCAGGGTCTGTGAACATAATTTGTCTTTTTGAATTTTGATCCCCTTTTCGATATAAGTGGTTTCTTTTATGATCCATGGTCTTTCATTTTATAACACAAGAAGGGTGAAGATCTGCAGGCCTGGGAGCCAGCAGTTCCCAGGCCTGGTCTCCTATGGAGAGTTTCCAGCTCCCTCTTTCATCTTACAGAGGAGGAAAGCCCAGGAGGAGGGGTCTGCTGGAGGTCACACAGCGAGGGAGCAGGTCTCCCGACTCCTCACTACCCCCAAAGCTCCCCCTTGCCCATCCTTGGCAGGATGGGAAGGGCGGGGACTTTTCAGGGAGCTAAAGGAGGTTGGGCTGGCCTCCTTCACCCCACCCTCACCTCCAAAGGAAGCTCACAACCTCCCATGGCCCAGGCACCCCCACTCCTCCTTGGGCCAGGCCAGAGCTGGCAAGGACCCTTGGGCTCAGTGGGGAGAGGGCCCTGGGGGAGTTTTCCAGGTAAGATTACTTGGAGCTGGGGGAGTGTAGAATAGGAGTCCCAGCTTTCTCAGCAGAGGACCCAAGCTGTCTCCAAGCCTGGATGTTGGCCCTCTCAATGGCTCAGGCTCCTCTCTCCAGGCCTAGGCCTCAGCACCAGCCTGGGCTTCCCCTGGATGGGAGCTGGGAGGGGCCGTGGAGTAGGGGACAGGCAGGACCACTGGCTGGCATGGAGGCCAGCCCCTTCATTTCACAGATGACGAAACTGAGGTCCAGAGAGGGTCAGGACTAAGTTCTAAGGAGCTTAGGGGATGGTAGAGCTGTGAGGGCTCTGGAACAGGGTATGGCAGAGCTGGGAGGGCCCTAGAGCAAGGGATGGCAGAGCTGGGAGGGCCTTAGAACAGGGGATGGCAGAGCTGGGAGGGGCCTTAGAACAGGGGATGGCAGAGCTGGGAGGGTCTTGGAACAGGGAATGTCAAGGCTGAGATGAGACAGGACTTAGAGCACAGCAGCTTTGGGCTAATAATACAACAACAATAATTTTAGCAATTCCCATCGCCCTCTAAAGTTCCTATCCTTCTGGCCTCGTGGGTACAACCAGCACTATTACCCTTATTTTACAGATGAAGATACAGATGCTCAGAGGGGAAGTGACTTTTCTGTGTTCATACATCTAGTCCTACCCCATAAATTTACAGGAGAGGAAACTGAGGCCCTGAGGGGGGGACTTAGGCCTGGACCTGGCTCTCCCACTTCCCGAGCCAGGGCTTTTTCCGCTGCTGCCACTGGAGTGTGGAAGAAATAGCCCTGGCCTGGGAGTCCTTCCTGTCGGACACCCCTCCCCACTCCCCACGGGGTGTTTGGCAGCTTCTCCTGCCCTCCACCCCCCAGGAAGCTGGGGGATGGCCCAACCTGCCAGCGCCACTGCTCCCAGGGGTGAATGAGTTCCCATGGTCACTTTCTGAGCGCCTTGGAAGGAAGCCTGAGGAGCAGGCACGGGGTGTGCTATCCTCAGAGCATGGGGGACTTGCCTGCTTTCCCAGCCTGGGCCTGCTAGGTGAGGAAGGGGCAGCTGCTTCCCCGGGGCTGCCCCCCCCCGCCTGGGGGAGCTGCTCCTGCTTCCTCTGCTGGATGGAGATAGTCCTTGAGCCCTGGCCGGCCTTCCACTCCGAGCCCCCCCAAGCCTCCTGCCTTCCTCCCTCCCAGCTGCCCCTCCCCTCTCCTTTCCCTCTGACCCTCGATCTCCTCCTCCCCTTTTCTTCTCCATTCCCTTTTGCTCTCTGCCCCCCTACCGCTTTCCCCTCCTGGCCGGCCTCCTCCCAGGGTGTCAGAGGAGTGTCTCCAGCCCCTCCCCAGCAGGTACTGCTTGCTCCCCCCTCCCTTCACCAGAGTATGGACGCCACCTGGGGCCCAGGGAGACCCAGAGGAAGCTCTCACCACTGCATTTCCTCATTTGTTTCCTAGAATTGGGGGGTCCTGGGGGTTTAGTTTCCCCTTATCTCAAGAGCCCCCAACCCTTCCAGGTTTTGGTGTGGTAGAAAAAAGTCTGGTGGGGCGGGTAGGAGTCCAGTGGCCCAGCTCTGCCATCCCCTGTTCCAAGGCCCTTTCAGCTCTGCCATCCCCTGTTCTAAGGCCCTTCCCACCCCCACCCCCACCCCCTGGAAGCTGCCTGCTTGTCTGCTTTAGGCCCTGCCCTGCTGGCTAGGGGCCGGGGTGGGGGTGGGGGGTTGTTGTTAACAGGAATCCTCTCCCCTCAGACTTCTGCCCTCCCCCAGCTGCTGGGGCTTATAAGAAGGGGAACAGAGAAGCCTGTCTTCTTCCCCCCACCCCAAGTCTGGAAATGGGTGGGGGAGTAGATGGGAGCAGTTTAACTCCAGATTCTGGAGGGGAAAGGAGGAGGGTCAGGATGAGGAGTAAGCTGGGCTGCGGCCACAGACCCTGGGGCCCAGCTCCCTCCCTCCCTCCCACTAAGTCCTGGGATCCAAGATGATCCTCCCTGTGGCTCTGAGTGCCCATCCCTATGTTACAGTGAGGCCCAGAGGCTGTGACTTGCCCAAGTTCACACAGATTGTAAGGGGCAGGGCCAGGACCAGAAACCAGGTCACCAGACTCCTGAGCCCAGATTTCTTTCCAGGGAGGAGAAGGGGGGGGCATCTCATTGGTGTGGGGAGAGCAATGGATGGAGTCAGGAAGACCTGTCTGACCTCAGACACTGACCCTGGGCAAGTCACTTAAAAGACCTGTTTGCCTCAGTTTCCTCATCTGTAAAATGGGGGTGATCATTGCACCGCCTTCCCGGGGCGGTTTTAAGGATTACAAACCTGAAACATCTATATAAATGGCAGCTGCAATCACCATCCTCCTCCTCCTCCTCCCTTTCCCCTCCCCCACTCCAATGAGAGGCTAAAGGGCCAGAGGCCAGAGACCCAGGTTCAAGTCAGAAAATGACCCTTGACCCTTACCAGCCATGTGGTACGCGCCCTCCAGGCAGCAACAAGGCCTGAGTTAGGGCCCCCTGCAGCCTTCCCCACAGACCCCAATGCAGTCATGGGTCAGGTCCCTTCCTGAGGGGGCAGTAGGCCCACCTCCTGCCTCGGTTTCCCTCCAGTGTCCCACACTGTGGCCAGAGCTGAATTTGAGCTTTGATTCCCTACTGCCCCTGACTGTCGGTGGGATCTTAACCAAGTTACTTCCCCTTACTAGACCTCAGTTTCCCCATCTGTAAAATTTAGATCATCATCTCTGTCCCTCTCAACCCCTAAAATTGTTTCTTAGGCAGTGAAATGCAGTAGTGGAGACTGGAAGACCTGAGTTTAAATGTGGCCTCAGACCCTTACTAGCTATGTGACCCTGGGCAAGTCACTTAACTGTTTGCCTCAGTTTCTCTCCTCTGTAAACTAGGAGGGAAGGGGAGACTGAGCTCGGAAGTCCCCTCCAACTCCTTCGCTCTGCTCTGGGCAGGTCGCTGGACCCTGAGCTGGCTGCTTGCCTTCTTTGGCCTTGGTTTCCCTCAGGGGCTTAGGCTCAGCAGTCCATTAGCTCCTACTCTGGAGGCCGGTTGGATCTTCGGTCTTTTTCTGTCCGGCCTGGCTTAGCACAATGGGCACTTAACCACTAATGGCGTCTGGGCTTGGTGAGGCTCCCACCTCCAGGCAGCCAGATGTCACCCCCTTCTCCTTGCCACTCCTCTGCTCTAGAATCTTCTGTGGCTCCCAGCTGCTAGGATCAAGTACGGACTCCTCCCGAGGGCATCTCAACCGTTCCCAGCCTGGCTCTAGACCCTGCCCAGGCTGTCCTCCAGCAGGCTGGTACCTGGCTCTATGAGAGACCTGGTCCTGGGGCCCCTGAGTTATTCACCCCTTCTCCCCTTGTCTCAGGGGCCGAGCGCTGGAGACACTGAGGTCAGAGAAGCAGGCTTGTAGCGGTGTGCGTGATGGCACGTGCCGGCCCCAAAGCTCAGCTCTCCCACTACCCGCTGGGTAACCAGGGGTGGGTCGCTGAGCTTCCCTGGGACTCAATTTCTTCATCTTTAAAATGGGAATCATTTGCTAGTGGACATGTAGCGCGATGGCTCCCTCTGACATTCCGGGACCCAGGCACGTGAGCGCGTGGGCGTGGGGCCAGACAGGCTGTCCATTGTGTGCCAGGGTCAAGGGAGCCCCAGAGCCCCTGGTGTGGGTGGCACACACAGAGCCCCTCCCTGCCTGGGAAACGCCACCCCAGCCCACCCCGGGACTCCCTCTGTCCGTCCCCAGCTCGAAGTCACACTGGACCTGGCCGAACGGCGCCGCATCCGCTCGGCCATCCGTGAGTTACAGCGGCAGGAGCTTGAGCGGGACGAGGGGGCCTTGGCATCCAAGCGTTTCCGGGCAGAGCGGCTGGAGAACAAGGAGAACTGGCTGCAGTGAGTACCTGGCCCTCAGCCCCTGCGTGGGCCTCAGCCTCCCCATCTGTGGAGTGGGCCTGTTCCACGGTCAAAGGATCCGAGACCCTGAGCGGGAAGGGACCTTAGAGTGCCTCCACAGATGGAGAAACTGAGGCCCAGAGAGGCCACCCAACTCGCCCCATGTCACTCGGTGTCTGAGGCAGGGCTTAAACCCAGGACTTTCTCCCTCTGAGGCCAATAACTCCCTCTGCCATATCATGCTGCCCAGTGATGGAATGACTCCCCAAGGTCACCTTCCACCCCTCCTTCCTTCCCTTCCTTCTCCCCTTTCTTCCTTCTTTCCCTCCTTTCTTCCTTCCTTACCTCCCTTCTTCCCTCCCTCCTTACTTTCCTTCCTTTTTCCTTCCCTTCCTCCTTCCTTCCCCCTTCTTTCCTTTCCTTCTCCCTTCCTCCCTCCCTCCCTTCCTTCCCTCCTTCCTTCCTTCCTCACTTCCCTTCCTTCCCTCCCTTCCTTCCTTTTTCCTTCCCCTTCCTCCCTTTCTTCCTTCCTTTTCTTCTCCCTTTTTTCCTTCCTCCCTCCCTCCCTTCCTTCCCCCTTCCTCCCTTCCTTCCTTCCTTTTCTTCTCCCTTTTTTCCTTCCTTTCTTCCTTCCTCCCTTCCTTTCCCCTTCCTTCCTTCCCTCCTTTCTTTCTTTTCCCTTCCCCTTCCTTCCTTTCTTTCTTCCTTCCTCTTTCCTTCCCTCCCTTTTTTACTTCCTTTCCTTCTTCCTTCCTTTTTCCTTCCCCTTCCTCCCTTCCTTCTTTCCTCTTCTTCTTCTTTCCTTCCTTCCTTACCCTCCCCCCATATAAATGTGGATCTGGGCTTCCCCCCCCATTAGACTGTGAGCTCCTTGAGAGCAGGGTGTGTGGTTGGGGCTTTCTTTGTATCCTGGCACACAGTCGGTGCCTAATAATTGCTTGTCTGTTGTGCGCACAGCTCCCAGCAGCAGGAGGAGGAGCAGCAGCGGGTGGCCCTGGCCCTGCTGTCAGGCAAGCTCGAGGCCATCAGCGATGTGGAGGAACTGACCACCCTGGTGAGGGCCCGGGCCCGGGCCTGGGGCAAGGGACGGGGTGGCGGGAGGGGCCCGGCAGGACCCCCTTCATTCCTGTGGCCCCCCCTCGTTGCAGCTGCGGGCGGCCGCTGAATACGAGGAGCGGAAGCTGATCCGAGCTGCCATCCGCCGAGTGCGCGCCCAGGAGATCGAGGGTACGACCCCTTCCCGCCCCCTGCTTCCAGCCCTCCTGCCGCTGCCCTGGCCCCTGACCGCTCCCTTCTCTCCTTGCAGCGGCCACCTTGGCAGGAAGGGTATCCGGTGCCCAGGAGGACAGTGAGGGGCGGGCAGCCAGGAGGCGGGCACGCCAGGAGGTGAGCAGCACCCCCCGGGGGAGGGGAGTGGGCCCTGCAGGCGGGCGCCTGTTTGTGTCTGTGCCCCTGTGCCCAGTCCAGGGCACCAGGGACGAGGGAGCCAGCCTTGCAGTCGGCCTGACCCTGACCTTCGGCCTCACCCCCAAAAATGTCCCCCTCTGCTTTCCTTTGGGGTCAGACAGGGGCAGTGACGAGAGGCCAGCCCCTGCAGCCTGGGACCTGCATTGAGTCCTGGATCAGTCCCTTCCAAGTGGTATGATCTTGGACATGTCACTGCCCTGGTGAAGAGGCTGGCCCCTCCCGGCTCAAAGATTCCCTGTTCTGAAACTCCTTGGGGTCTGAAGCCCCTCTCGGCTCTGACATGCTCTCTTTCACACACACACACACACACACACACACACGCCCCTTCTGTGTACCCGAGTCCCCAGGAAGAGGCTTTCCAGGAGGGAGGGGAGGCGTCTGGGGGGACAGAAGGCTTCTTCCCAATCAGATCCCACCAAGTCTCATACTCCAAAGGTGGATGGGCCTGGCCCTAGAAGTAGTGAGTTCCCCATCACTGGAGTGAGTCAAGCTGATTCTAGATAACTGTTCGTTGGGTGTGTTTGAGAGGAGTCCTGCTCGGATACAGAGGAGTTGAGTGGCCCCAGGCCCCACCCGCTCTCTAATCATCTTTTCTCTGTGTATCCTTTTCTCACCCAAACACTTACGCAGGGGGTACAGAAAGGGGGAGCTTGTCCGGCCCGTCCCGCACATTCACCTGTTGGGTGTCACTGGGCTTTCCTTACAGGCGGGCTCTCCATCAGTCACTGGGGAGCAGAGATGTCAGAGTGAAGCCTCTGGAGGCAGGCCGGGCTTCAGGGGAGTGGGGAGGGAGAGTGTCGCAGGAGTGTGGGCCCACGGTTGCCAGGGTGGAGTGGGCAGGTGTGGTCAGCCCTGTGCACACCTGCCTTCTGTTTGCTCTCCCAGAGAGCGGGTGAAAGGTCATGGCGTACTATGGTGGGAGGCGGCTGCTGCCTGCTGTGACTGCTCAGTGGGTCCGGGGCCCAGGTTCCCTTTCCATGCCTCAGTTTCTTCATTTGTAGTTTGAGAGGGTCAGAAGAGATGACGTTCCAAGTTCCCCTAGCTCTGACGTTTTTATAGCACAGAATGCCAATGCTGGAGGCCCTGAGTCAAACCTGACCAGTGGACCGTCCCCTCAAGACCCCCCAGGGCAGCCCATCCTAGCTTGGTGCTGCCGGAAGGCAGTACTATCTACATGGGTGACCTTGGGCCATTCATGGCGTGTCCTGGGCCTCAGTTTCCCCAAATGTAAAATGAGGCCACTGGCCGAGGCAAACCTTCGGCTCTTCCAGCCCTTGGCTGAAGCCTTGTTACCTGCCAGGGCTCCTTCCACGTTCCTGAGCCTCGGTTTCTTCAACAGTCCAATGAGGGCTTTGGACTGGGGGCTCTTGGCGTTCAGCCGAGGCGCCTGGGACACTTCTTCCTGTTCTCGAGGCTAAGGTAGATTCGGTTAGATTAAATTCAGTTACATCCACCTTCCCTATCCCTCCCTCTGGGGCCAGGTAGTTAGGCTTTGTCCGGCACAGCCTAAAGGCCCCTCCAGCTGTGGCGTTTTGTGTCCCGAGGGCCTGGGACCCTTGGTCAGGAGTCAGCGAGAATGTGTGGAGGGAGCTGATGTGGGCCGAGGGGACGGCATCCCTCAGAGAAAAGCCATAGGGAGGCGCCATGCCAAGGGCTGCCACTAGAGGCTGCTGTCCCACCAAGGTCCGGGACCCTTGGCTTCTGCTCCTGTCTGGGTGGGGGCTCATGTTCACAGGTAGTGAGGCTGCCTCCTCCTGCCCCCAGCCCTGTCCCACCCCACCCTACCCCTACCCCATTAGCACAGCTCTTTGGTGAGGGATGAGCTGGTTTCTCCCCCTGGCTCTGCCCCTAACTCGTTTCCTGAAAGCCTTTTACCTTGCCTCAGTTTCCCTATGTGTAAAATGAGGTTGGGCTAGAGGATCTGTACCTAAGGGTCCTTCCATCTTCTCTCCCATTCCCTGGTCTCTGGACCTCTCTGTGTGCCTGTGCGTGTGGGTGTGGGTGTGGAGTCCATGGGACTGAGTTTAAATTTAGCTTTGCTACAGGCTTCTTGACCCAGTTCTGTCCCCTCTCTGGGCTTCTGCTTTAAAAGTCCAGGACCAGAGAGGACTTTAGAGGAGGAAACAGGCTTAGGAAGGTGAAGTGGTTGGCCCAGGGTCAACTCAGGTAATGAGCATCTTGGACCACAGAACCAGTGGCCTTTCCTCTAAAATGGGCTTGGGGGAAGTTCAGTTCTCAATCTGTGACTGTGTGTGTGTGTGTGTGTGTGTACACAAATGTGTGCATGTATACGTACATGCCTGCCTCTATAGTCCGTATTTCAGCCAGCCTTCTTGTCAGCATCCATGTATACATGTATGTACACATGCATATGTGTGTGTGTGAGCATGAGAGTAGCCCTGTGTGTCACTAGCAGGATGAAGGGCCGCTGTGTTCCAGCCCTATCAGAACCAGGCTACCTGAGCCCCACCCTAGCTTTCCTTCCCAGCTACTTTGCATGACCTAAGACATCTGGCACCGCCCTGTCCGCCCTACAGAATAGAGTTGGGTGCCGCAGCCTGAGGGTCTGGGGCTGTCTCTCTCTCACTCTATCTCTTTTTCTCTCTCTGTATCTCTTTCTCTGTCCTTTTCTGTCTTGCCTCTGTCTATCTCTCTTTGTCTCTGGCTCTCTCTGTCTCCATCCTGTCTCTATCTGGCTCTCTCTGTCTCTGTCTCTTTCTGTCCTGTCTCTCTGTCCTTGTCTCTCTATCCTACCTCTGGCTCTCTCCTTCTGTCTCTGTCTCTCTCTGTTTCCATCCTGTCTCTATCTGGCTCTCTCTGTCTCTGTCCTTGTCTCTCTATCCTACCTCTGGCTCTCTCCTTCTGTCTCTGTCTCTCTGTCCTTGTCTCTCTATCCTACCTCTGGCTCTCTCCTTCTGTCTCTGTCTCTTGTCCTTGTCTCTCTATCCTACCTCTGGCTCTCTTCTGTCTCTGGCCTCTCTGTCTCCATCCTGTCTCTATCTGGCTCTCTCTGTCTCTGTCCTTGTCTCTCTATCCTACCTCTGGCTCTCTCCTTCTGTCTCTCTCTGTCTTGTCTCTCTATCCTACCTCTGGCTCTCTCCTTCTGTCTCTGTCTCTCTGTCCTTGTCTCTCTATCCTACCTCTGGCTCTCTCCTTCTGTCTCTGGCTCTCTCTGTCTCCATCCTGTCTCTATCTGGCTCTCTCTGTCTCTGTCCTTGTCTCTCTATCCTACCTCTGGCTCTCTCCTTCTGTCTCTCTCTGTCCTTGTCTCTCTATCCTACCTCTGGCTCTCTCCTTCTGTCTCTGTCTCTCTGTCCTTGTCTCTCTATCCTACCTCTGGCTCTCTCCTTCTGTCTCTGGCTCTCTCTGTCTCCATCCTGTCTCTATCTGGCTCTCTCTGTCTCTGTCCCTGTCTCTCTGTCCTACCTCTGTCTCTGTCTCCTTCTGTCTCTGGCTCTCAGGCAAAGGACCAGGAACAGCAGACCGAGTGTGTGCAGACTCAGGCCCAGACCAGCCAGTGGCAAGAAGACGCCCCCGGCTCCAAGCTAGACGGTATGGCCTGGGCTCGGGGGGCGCTGGGGCTTTGTGAGCCCCTGGCGGGAGGGCCGGGGAGGAGGGGAGGAGGGACTATGTGGGCCACCCCCACTTCTTGTCTTTGTCAGGCATGGCCTCTGGGCCCCTCCTGCTGCTGGATGCTCTGGGCCCAAGGCCCCCCAGCCTGCCCAGCCCACCCTCCACGCCTTCATCCTCAGAGCCAGCCCAGTGCCCGGTGGAGACAGGTAGCGAGGAGGCCAGTGAGAGGCCCCCCAGCACCTCCCTGGAGGAGGATCCAGGTCCTGCGAGTCCCCCCAGGGCTATTAGCCCTGAGGAGCCCCAGCCTCTGCAGGCCCCCCAGAGCCCAGGACCCTTCCCAGCCCAGCCTAGGGAGCACATGCCAGGCCAACTTCTGGGCAGCAATGTCCAAAGTGGCAAGGTAGGTGACCTGGGGTGGAGAGGGGGTGGTCAAGTCTGTCTCAGTATGATTGCCTCCCCACCCCACCCCTGGCCGATATTTACAGACCACCCTTCCCTGACCTTGGTTGTGAATGGGCAGCCTGGCCCTGGGGTGGCCCTAGCCGGGAAGGCCAGAGGCCTCACAAACAGGGCCATCCAAGGCTACATTTCTCCTCAGCTGGGCCCAGGCCAAAGACAGCAGGTGGCAGAGAGAGCATTTGGGACCCCCGATGCGAAGAAAGCTGGTAAGGAATTGGGCCTTAGCTGGTCCCCCCACTGGCCCTGAGGAAGGGCCTCTGGAAAGCCCCAGGGGCCCAGGCTTCAGGGCCTTGCCTAGGTGCCCCTGGGAGAGCCTGGGGGGTCACCTGGCTGTGTGGCAGAGGGCTAAGGGGGGCCAAGGTACAGGGAGGGCAGTGGCAGAGCCAGGCACACTGCTTTGGGAGGGAAGGAGCTCCCCGTCCTGGAGGGCTGCCATGCTGTTCAGATGTGGGCTGGTGTGGATGGCCTCAGAGGTTCTCTGGGGTTTGTAGGGCGGTGCCCAGGAGGGAGGCTGCAGCACGCGGGGCCCTTGACCTGGGCCCCAGGCCAGCGGGCAGCTTCACCGCCATCCCGCAGCCTGCCGTCAGGGCTGGGAGATGGAGGGGCTGTTTATCCAAGCAGCTCTACCTCCGAGCCTTGAAAGGGAAACCACGGCCTCCTGCATTCTTCTCCCCAATAAGGGCTGGGCCCCAGGCTCCCCACCCCGATGCCCTCCTGGGCACTGGGCAGACATCTCCGGACCAAGAGGGGGCAGGGGCACCCTGCTGAGAAGCTGGGCCCTGCCTCCCACCAGGTCGAGACAGCCTCCTGGGGAAGCAGTCTGGACTCGGGATCAGGGGTCTGGCTGTACTCTGGGACTCAGTTTCCTTGTTTGTAAAATAAAGAGGTCAGACAGGTCATCTCTCTAGGCCCTTCCAGATCTGAACTGGTGACCTCATAACCTTGAGCCTTTCATCACCAAAGTGTCTCGGAGCAGTTTGGGGTCTCAGAATACCCCTTGAGGAGCCCCCTCCCTGGTGGAGGATCCTCAGTCAGGGAGGGTGCCAGGGGTTCAAGGCTCTAGTGGGCATTGTGGTGGGAAAGAATCTACCCCCCAGGTGCAACACGGACTTGCCCTGCCCCCATCCTCCCCAGGGCTCAGGGGACCTCAGAGGCCATCTCATCTAGAGGGGGAAACTGAGGCAGGGGGTGACCAAGTGGCAGAGGGAGGAAGGATTGTCATACAGGTCTTCCAGCGCCAGAGCCAGAGTACTTTCCATGACATCCCCGTCCATCCCGAGCACCCACATCTGAGGGGAGGAGGAGAGAGAGCACGGCAGCTACCAGTGGGGGAGCAAGCTGGGGAGGGGTGGGGAAAGGGGACAGAGCCTCAGAAGGTTTCCAGGTTGGAGGCAGGGAGCAAGTGTTTGGGAGAAGGGAGGAGGAAGTGTGTGTTTGGGTGTGTGAGTGAGGGGGAAAGAAGGAGGCATCAAAGAATGGGGGGGGTGAGTGAGTATGTGTAAGGGGGAAGGAAAGAATTGTGAGTGTGAGTATGTAAAGGGAAGGAAGGAGGTGTGAGAGGATGGGGGCATGTATGTATGTGTGTGTGTGAGTGTGTAAGGAGAAGAAAGATGTGAGAGGATGGGGGCATGTATGTGTGTGAGAGTGTGTAAGGGGAAGGAAGAAGGTGTGAGGATGGTGACTGTGTGAGTGAGTGTGTAAGGGGAAGGAAGGAGGTGTAAGGATGGGGGTGTGAGTGTGTAAGGAGAAGAAAGATGTGAGAGGATGGGGGCATGTATGTGTGTGTGAGTGTGTAAGGGGAAGGAAGGAGGTGTGAGGATGGGGGCATGTGTGTGTGAGTGTGTAAGGGGAAGGAAGGAGGTGTGAGGATGGGGACATGTGTGTGAGTGTGTAAGGGGGAGGAAGGAGGTGTGAGGATGGGGGCATGTATGTGTGTGTGAGTCTATAAGGAGAAGGAAGGAGATGTGAGAGGATAGGGGCATGTATGTGTGTGTGAGTGTGTAAGGGGAAGGAAGGAGGTGTGAGGATGGGGACATGTATGTGTGTGTAGTATAGGAGAAGGAAGGAGATGTGAGAGGATGGGGGCATGTATGTGTGTGTGAGTGTGTAAGGGGAAGGAAGGAGGTGTGAGGATGGGGACATGTATGTGAGTGTAAGGGGAAGGAAGGAGGTGTGAGAGGATGGGTGTGTGTGAGTGTGTAAGGGGGAGGAAGGAGGTGTGAGAGGATGGGTGTGTGTGTGAGAGTATGAAGGGGAAGGAACAAGGTATGAGAAGACGGGGAGTGTTGGGCGTGCTCAGAGTGGCCCTCTGTGAGGGGCCCACACTGCCCCCTCCCCTGGCCCCCTGTGAGGGCCCACACTGACCGCTCACTGGCTCTCTGCCACACACCCCCAATGGCTTTCTCCTCTCTTCCTGGCATGCATGTGGCACCACCCCTTCCTCTGGCTTCTCCCGCAGCATGGGCATTGGCAGTGCCCTCTCTCCACAAGCCCAGCCTCACCAGCCTCCCCAGCCCGCGCTCCTGCCAACGCTCCCTGTCGTTGCTCACCCCCCGCAGGGCTGAGGCCCCAGGTAGCGCCCACTGTCCCCCCCACTTAAGGATCTGGGATTCAGGTGGGGAGGGGCAAATCACGGCAGCTGGCCCTCAGTGGCCTTCCCCACCATCCCACCCCAGGGATGCCCCAGGGAAGCGTTGCATCCATTTGGCTTCTTCATCAAATGTCCTGGGGGCAAAAGCCCTAGAGGTCCTATCTGGCCCCCTGACCTTGCCCTCCCTCCTTCTGAATCTCCCTCCCAGACTTCCCCAAGGCCAGCCCCTCCCCTTTCCAGAGGACCAGCTCGGTGCGGGACCGGGTTCGCAAATTCACATCCTCTGAGTCACCTGCCCCCCCAGGGGCCCGGACCCCCCAGCAGCAGCGACTCCTCAGCTCCGGGGACCGGGCAGCCCCAGAACCCCACCGACCAAGTGAGCAGCGCCCTGGACTCACGAGCAGTGTGAAAGCAGAGCTGGGCCCTTCTTCCTCCTCTTCCTCCTCCTTCTCTTCCTCCCTCATCACCTCCAAGATCGCCGGCAGCAGCACCCGCACCTCCTCCTGGCAAGGAGAGCCCCAGATTGTCAGAGTGGGGGCCAGGGATCGGGATTGCCCTAAAGAGGAGGGCCCAGGGGGGAGGAGCCTGGCCACGTCACAGGGGAGGCCCCTTGAAAACGGAGAGAGGGGGCCCCCACTGGGCTCAGAGGAGCCCAGCACCCTGCCCGTCGCTGCCAGGCAGGCTGAGCAGGGCAGCCGGACCCCGCAACCCCGAACCGCTGAGGAGGCCAGCATGAAGACCACCTTCACCATCGAGATCAAGGATGGCCGAGGCCAGCCCATCAGCAGCCGAGTGCTGGGCCCCGTGGGCAACCAGAGGGCAGGTGGGTGAAGAAGGCCTGGGGCCAAAGAGGCTTGAGCTGTCTGGGGGGAGGCGGGGGCGAAAAATGCCCCCCTCCCCAGCCTCCAGGTGATATCTCGGGGTGGAGCTTTTTTGTTCTTTCCCTTCTCTGTGGGTCCTTCCCCTGGCATCTCCACCCAGGCAGCAGACAACCTCTTCCCCGCCAATTGGCACTGGGTAGGCACAGCCTCCCGGGGATGTGGGAGTCCAGGCCTGGCTCCTTTGAACCTGAGCTCCACCTAGATGCGGAACCAGGAAAATTGGGGGCCTGGGGTAGGCGGGGATTGGGGACATCTTTTCTGTCTCCCCCACCTGGAGGCACTGACCCAGAGGGTGGGGATCAGGAGGGCGCCCTCCTCCATTCTGATTAAGTCTCCCACCTCCACAGAGCTGACACTGGGGCTCAGAGGCACCCCCGTCCACTTTGGCGGCGGCAGCACCGGGATGGGCACCGTCAGGCATGTCAGCACCCCCAGGACCGTCAGCATCCCTGGGACCGTCACACACGTCAGCACCCCCAGGACCATCAGCATCCCCGGGACCGTCACACACGTTAACACCCCTGGGACCGTCAAGCACGTCAGCACCCCCGGGACCGTCACTCATGTGGGCAGCACCAGCCATGTCTCCAGTGGGGGTCACACCAACAAGGTGAGGGCCTTGGTCTGCCTCATGTCCCCTGGGAGAACCTGGGGCTGTTAAGCCCGGGCAGGGAGTGGGGGGGGGGCGGGAGAGCCTGTCATCTAGTATGTCATGGGCCTGCACAGCCCCAGAAGGCGGAGCCAGGACCACGGGGCAGAAGTTACAAAGACAATGAAAGCCGTGCCTGAGAGTCATGGCACAGGGTGTGCTGGGCGGCAGTGGGCTAAGATAGCCCTCAGCCTGGTGTCAATGTGGTGACCCCAAGAGTGGGGGGGCCACCAAGCTGCCTCAGGGGGCCTAGGTCAGACGTTGGAAATGGGTGGATGAGTGACCCAGGCTGCCCTTCCAGGCTGGGCAGGATCAGGAAACCCAAATGCAAAAATAAAACCAAAACCAATGGTTTGGGCTTGCTGGACAGGTAGTGAGCTCCCCGTCACTGGAGGCCTTCCAGCAGAGGAGGCCCACTTGTGTTGTAGACCCAGGAGTTCTTGTCCAGGCACACCCTGAGGGCCAATGCACTCTCCCTTCGCTCTTCCCCCTCCTCCTCATTCTCTTAGGCCCTTTCCCCTTCCCTCAAAATCAGGAAATTCCTGCATCCCAAACCTATCTGGGACCTTCACTAGCTGTGTGAGCATGTCCACAGCATTTCCCCTCTCTTCGCCTCAGTTTCCTATTCCATCAAATGGGTTCAGAATACTTGCTCTCCTGTCCTCTCTGGGGTTCTTGTTAGAAAAGTGCTTTGGAAGTCTTGTTTGGGGTGCTGGAGAATTAGGGGTCCTTCTCACTGAGGAGCGCTGGAAGGGCCTGGTCCCTGTCCTCAGCCAGCTTGCCCTGGGCCTCTTGTTGGGGCCCCTCCGGGTGGCCCCACTGGGAAAGGAAGCAGATTCATCTCAGCTAATACCCGGCCGGGGCCCACAGGATGGGATTAGGATTAGGAGATGAGCTGGGGGTGGGGGGGCCAGGTTGGGCAGGAGCGGCAGCAGCAGTCAGGAAGAGGAGGACCCTAGAGGCGGTGAGGCCGGCCAGGCAGGGGCTGGGGGGTGGCACAAGCGCCTCGAGCGGCAGGTGCTGGGGGAACTGTATCCTCCAGGCCCCTTCATTATTCACGAGCCAGGATAGGCTCCCCAGAGTTCCTGCTGGGAGACAGCCAGACCCCACACAGGCAGGGAACGGCAGTCTGGGCAGGATCTCGGGCGGTCGCTCTGTCAGGTAATGCGCTCTGGCCATCCAGGTAGCTTGGGGCGGCCTGAGATCTGGCCCTGTGAGCTGCCCCCTCCCTGGGAGCCCTGAGAGGCTTGAGCCCTGGGTCTGCTGCCTCCTGGGGTCCCCCCAGGGGTCTCTGGTGTGCAGAGGCCTGGAGGCAGGCCATCCCAAACTCCTCCTTCCAAGGGACTCAGGTGGCATCCTGAGGGGGGGGAAGAACTCAGGGTCCGTCTTAGTGGCTGTGTGACCTTAAACAAGTCACTGAACTCTGGGGCCCAGCTTCCTCCCCCAGCCTGGCTGAGGCCTCCTAGGGGCTCTCCCAGCCCTGATCCTCTGCTCTTCTGCGCTGGGTGGTGGCCTCATGGCCACCTGTCCCTCTCCCTCCCTGCTGACCTCTGTGTGCTCCTGCAGGGGAAACCCTTGGGGTCCTGCCAAGAGTTGGGGGCAGGGGATGGAGGCTCACGAGCCAGGGGCCAGCAGGCTGGCATCTGCTGGGGCTCACGCCACACCCCTCACCCCCCTCCTCCCCACAGGGACAAGAATAGGTTTCTCTTTGGAAACAAAAGCCCCTGCTGGTTTAGAAGCCAGTCTGGGACAGGGGCGGGGCAGACCGGGCCCTGCTGCCCTTGCCCTCGCCCTCCGCCTGCCTGCCCACAGAGCTGACTGTGGCTTCAGCCTGGGAGGCAGGATGCCGGGGGTGGCCAGGCCTGGCCCCCAGGGGCCCGGGGAAGCCCTGGCCTCGGAGCTGGAGGAGCGGCTGACCCAGGCCCTCCAGCAGCTGCGGCAGGAGGTGGAGGGTGGGCAGCAGGCGGCCACCCGGGCTGCCGAGGCCGCGGTGGCAGCCATGGAGCCCGTGGCCCGAGCGGCCCGGGAGCTGCAGAAGGAGACAGCTGCCCTCCGAGGGCAGCTCGAGTGCCTGAGCCTCCAGCTGGAGGCCCTGAGCCTGCGGCTGGGGCTACCCGACCCCAGCGCCCTCCTCCTAGCGGCCGAGGACCCTGAAGCCCTCTTCCAGGGGGTGGAGGATGAGGGGCCTGAGGCCACCCCCGTGGCCCACCCCCCTGCCTTCAGCACCCGGCGCCTGTCCTCAGTGCCTTTGTCCTGTGGCAACAGCCTCGTGAGTTGGGAGAAGGCTGAAAGGGTGAGAGGTGGGAGGACAGTGGTCCTTGGGGAGGGGGAGGGGAGCAAAGTGCCAGCGGAGGCCAAGGGACAGAGATGGGGCACTCAGGAAGGGGAGCCTTCCAGGCCCTCTCCTGGGGAGCCAGAGCAATAGCAGGGCGTCCACAGAGGGCTGGTGCTCAGTCTAGAGGGCCTTGGGAGCCTGCCCCCTCCCCTCACTGGACCTCGGCTTCCTTCTCTACACTTGGAGGGGGTCCAACAGATGGTCTCTAAGAGTCCTGCCTGCTCAGCGGCACAGGGCGGGGAAGGGGGAGACGCAGCAGCCCCTTTAGGCTCAGGGGCTCCTGCTTGGGGGGCGGGCACCGGAGAGGGAGGACAGGCGTCATGCACGGCCTTGACGAAGCTTATCGCTGGGCGAGCCGGGAGGGGCGCTGTCTGTCTGGAGAGGTTTGGGGTGCAGGTGTTGGCCGGGAGGCCCAAGGCTGGGGTGAGTGGGAGAGCAAGGGGGGAGGAGCCTCCTGGGGACAGCTGCTGCGGGTCTTCTTACGGCCGCAAGGGCCCTGCCAAGGCAAGGAGGGAGGCTGGACCTAAGGGTTGAGGGCAGAAGGCCCAGGCCCCACTCCTGCCATGCCCTGGCCCTCAGGGGTGCCCCCTCCCTCCTCCTCCCCTGTTACTAGCCTTAGCCCAGGGCCGGGACGGAGCCAGGCCAGAGCTGTCCTCGAGGAGCAGGGCCCTCCTGGAAAGCCAAGGCAGAGCCAGGAGTGTGGGCCAGAGCCCAGCCCCTCCTCCGGGTGACTGGGTGGGGCCTGGCACAGCTGCTTTGCCCCCAGGCCCACCCACCCCCATGCCTGGAAGTCACCCAGGACATTCCAAGGGCCCAGGGGCTCAACCAAGTGGAGAGAAAGAGTGGGTGGGGGAATTGGCTCAGAATCAGAAGCCTGGGCTTGAGTGTTGTGACCTCAGGCATCTTCCTTCCTTCTCCGGGCCTCAGTTTCCTCCTTTGTCATGATCCTTACCCTCCCTGTCTCATGGAGCATGCTGGGTTCCAAGAGCCCAGTCAGTCAGGAAGGATTTATTAACACCTGTGGTGCCAGGCACCATACTGGGTACAGACAGAGGTGACGGCGACGCGGCCTATGCGGACAGTGGAATTCAGGAAGACCCGAGTTCCAATCTGGCCTCAGACACCTCCTAGCTGTGGCCAAGTCACGTCACCTCTGTCTACCTCATCTATAAAATGGGATAATAACAGCACCTTCTTCCAGAGTTGTGAAGGTCACAGGTAATCCTCCTGAGCTCTGTGGTTACGATTCTCATTAACTATGAGATGCGCCATGAATGGTGATCGCCATCCACGGAGAAAGGGCCTCCCGTTTACTGAGGAGGAGGAGAAAGAGGAAGGTCAAGCCCGGAGAGGCAGGGCTGGGACTCAGGTCTCAGGCCCCAGGGCCCAGCTGGTGCCCCTCTGACCCAGGCTTGTCCAGTCTCTGCTTGGAGATCTCCGAGGAGGTGAATCCTCTGCCTTTCGAGGCATGCTCATTCTACTTTCTAATCGTTATTGGGATTGTATGAGAGGGTTTTCCTTATGGAGAGCCAGCATCTGCCTCCCTGTGACTTCTGCCCTCCATCCATCACCCCCACTTCTGTCCTGGTGGTATGAGGCTGATCCCTCTGCACGGGAAGGGCCTCTCAGATGCTTGAGGAGAGCCACAGGGCCTCCCCCCGTCCCTTCTCACCCCCCATCTTATCCAGTTCCTTCAGCCAAGCCTCCTCTGGCAAGATCTGGACACTCTTCACCATCTTGGTCTCTCTTCTTCCCTCTCCTCTGCACCCGGCATCCTCCCTGTCTGTGAAATTGAGGGCTGGCCCAGCCAGGCTTTCTGGCTCCTGTATCTTCTGATCCCTCCCGTGAGCCTCCGATTACCATTGTCTGGGGTGGAGGAGCCGGGCTTGTCAGGGCCCAGAGAGGAAGGACCGGGTGAGCCAACCTCTCCTTCTTGGGCTCTCCATGGATGAGTCTGACCGGGCCCAGATCGCAGCCCCCGCTCTAGGTGACCGGGCAAGAGTGGGCTTGGTGGCCCTCGGCGTCCCGTCAGCCCCAGCGCCTCTGTTCAGCAGGGGCGAAGGCCACCCCGTGCAGGGGACTCATAGCAGTGCCGGAGCCTGGCTGTCCTCTAGACGTTCAGCCACCCAGATCGCAGCCCCCTGGTGGGTTGGCTTCCAGTGGTTTGGTCTCTTGGGCAAGCAGACTGGAAGGAGGGACAGGCAGGGTCCTTTACATCACTGGCCATGTCTCTCCTCCGCTCCCTACTGACTTCTGGGGCACATACATGCCCCTGTGGTGAGCGTTTAAAGCCCCCTGTGGTTTGGCTTGGGCCGACCCGTGTCCCGCCTCCCATCACCGGCGTTCCAGCCCGGCGTGGCTCACTTTCTGGTCGCCGGACACCGCCTTCATGTCTGGGGCATGCTGTCTTCTCTAGCACCATTCCTTCAGGTCATCTTAGCACCTCCCCTCCTCCCCCTCCATCCCCCCATCTCCCAGTGGCCTCGTAGGGCTTGTTTGCTGAGTCTGCATTGGCTTCTCTGTTTGTGTTGCCAGTAGACTGTACACCCCTCGAGGGCAGGGACCGTTTCACTTCTGTCTTTGCATCCGAGGCGCCCTGCATGCAGTAGGCACTTGATAAATGCTTGTTAATGGATTGGTTGTCCCTCCCTGGTCTCTTCCCACGGAAGATGGATGCAGAGGCAGTGGTGGAGACCCCCACCGTGGTGCAGCTGGAAGTGGACGTGGCCAACGGCACAGAGAAGAGCCGGCCAGGGAAGGAGCCGGAGCCCCAGCCTCAGAGCAAGCTGCGCCCGGAGGAGTTGGCCGCCATAGAAGATGAGACTGTCCTGGACAGGATGGTACAGACGCGGCTGGGGTGGGGGCAGGGAGGAAGGGCCGTCTGGGAGGGCAGGGGAGGGGAGGCAGTGACACAGGGAGGAGTCAGCCCTGGACTGCCCCCCACAGCTGGACCAGACCACAGACTTTGAGGAGAGGCGGCTGATCCGGGCTGCCCTTCGGGACCTCCGGCAGAGGAAGAGAGGTATGGGCTAGACTGGGAAGTGGGAGAGAGGGAGGGAGCAGGGGGTGCTGCAGATGACCACAGCAAGGGTCATCCTTCCAGGCCAGGACTGCCCAGCCCCTCTCCCCAGCTTCTCACTGTTGAGCTCCCTGATCTTAACAATGCCCTCCAACCCCAACAGAACCGTTGATGAGCTTTCTGCACCCCCTACGTGCTATGGCTCCCACCCGCCTCCCTTCCAGCTCCAGATGCAGCTCCTGTCTTTCAGCCCCTGCTTCTTCATTCCCTAGCTTCTCTCTCCCAACCTTTAGTAATCCCCACCTGGCTGGTCAGTCCCTGGCCCCAGCCCCAGGCTCCAGGGAGGAGCTGAGGGCCCTTGAGGTAAACACCTCGTTCCTAACAACCTGCCCTCCCCAACCTTGTCTTGTGTGTCTGTGGGTGTCCCTTCGTGTCCCCCCCGGGTGCCATGTGTGTGTGTGTGTGCACACGGCCCCCTCCAGACCAGCGGGACCGAGAAAGGGAGCGGCGCCTCCAGGAAGCCCGGGCGCGGCCAGGGGAGGGCCGGGGCAGTACCGCCACAGAGACCACCATGCAGCAGAGCCAGAAGTCAGCTGATGGCTCAGCTGTGAGGACCGTCACCAAGACAGAGAGGCTCATCCACTCTAGTAAGGGTCCAGGAGTGGGCAGCAAACACCAGACCTGAGTTGTCCTGACTCCTCTGGGGGTGGGCCCTCAGAAGCCATCTAGGCCCACCCCTTCTCACTTTAAGGAGGAGGAAACTGAGTCCCAGAGCAGTTAATGACTTGCCCAAAGTCAGACTAGTTAGTAATGTAGCAAAGCTGGGATTCACAGCCAGCTGCTCTAACTCTACTGTGTCTAACACGTGACCGCATTTGACTGTAACAATTTCTACTCTTTCATTCTTTCCCCAGACTCTGGGTGTCAGAGCTGGGGAATAGAGACTGTTAGAGCTAGGACAGAGAAAGTCAGGGGCGGGAGGAAGCTTAGACATGACCTGCCTGCCTCAGTTTCCCTTCCTAGAGGGCAGACACTCTCATCTCAAGCCATCCCCTCCCTCTGTAATGGAGGGTAGAGAAGAGGACCCCTGGCAAGGTAGATATCCTCCCATAATTCCCACTGAAGGGCCCTTTTGGTGTCTCTCCCCACCAGGCGATGGCAGCCAGACCTCCCGGACCACCACAGTGGAGTCGAGCTTTGTGAAGCGATCTGAGAGTAAGGCCCAGCCAGCCGGCCCCCAGCGGCCTTCTTCCGGCTCTCCATCCCTGACCTTCTGCCTGTCTGTCTGCCTGTCTGTCTGGACACTGTCCTGATCACTCTGCCTTCTGTCTTCTCTGCTGCCCCTCAGACACTCCCTTTGAGGCTGCCCATCCCCAGGGCCCCTCAGACCCTCACTCCTGCCCCCTTTTACCTCCCACCAGACGGCGGCAGCAGGACAGTGGTCCAGACCAAGTCTTTCACTTCTTCATCCAAGAAGACGGGCAGGTGAGGAGAGCCTAGGCTGAGATTGCTGAGGGATCCAGGGGGGCCCGAGCTGAGGTGGGGAGGGGTCCAGGTCACAGTGGACAGTGTCTCCTCATAGGAAGAGTTCTGGGTTCAAATCCTGACTCTGACTCTGCTATATCACCTGGGTAACCTAGGACCTCAGTAACATGAAGGGGTTCCAGCAAGGTATAGAGAAAAATGGGATGCATTCATAGGAGCACTCTACCGCTTGCTAATGACTGTGTGATGTTGGGCGAGCCCCTTCCCCTCTCTGGGCCTCAGTTTCCTTATCTGTAAAATGAAGGGGTTAGTAGACTCCCTGGCCTCTAGGGCCCCCTCTTACCCTCCCCTTCTCTGAAAGTATCTTTGACCGTGAGGATGAGACAGCGTCAAGGGCCGGCAGCCTGGCGGCCCTGGAGCGGCGCCAGGCCGAGAAGAAGAAGGAATTGATGAAGGCCCAGAGCCTGCCCAAGACATCTGCATCCCAGGCCCGCAAGGCCATGATCGAGAAGCTCGAGAAGGAGGGCAGTGGCGGAGGGGGAGGCAGGTGAGGCCCCGGGGCTGAGGCTGAGAAGAGGTCAGGGCTGGGGGCAGGGGGAGCAGATGGGGGACGTTTCCCGACCGCGTGGCTGGCTCTCTCTCCACAGCGGCCCTGCTGGCTCGCGGGGGGCCATACAGCGCTCTTCCAGTTTTGGGGTCCCCAACGCCAACAGTATCAAGCAGATGTTATTAGACTGGTGCCGAGCAAAGACCCGAGGCTACGAGGTGAGTGAGCAGCCCCTCCCGGGCACCCAGAGCAGCCTGCAGGCAGCAAGGCCGATGGGCAGGGAGCCAGAAGGGACCGCGGAGGCCCTTGCATGGGCCCTCGTGTTCTCAGAGGAAACTGAGGCTCTAAAGAACGGAACGGGGACTCGTGCTCGTCAGGGCCAGGACTGCAGCCAGGTTTTAAAACTAGAGTCTGTGTTCCTTCTGCAGCATCTCAGCTGCCTTGGCCATGAGATGAAGAATTTGGGCTGCGTATTCGATGGGGCTCCTCCTAACTGTGACATCCCCTGTTCTAAGGCCCCTTCCCAGTTCTGACATCCCCTGCCCTAAGGCCCCTCCCCTCTCTGAGAGTCTCCTCAGTGGGTCTGTTTCTCAGGCGTGAGAAGGCCCTCAAGTCTGGAGCCAGCTGGAAACACTAGAAACCTCCAACAGCCAAGAACATTCAGTCCCCCGGGGCCTGGGATGATTACCTCTGTGTAAAAGCCAGATCCTATCGCGGTGGGGCCCCGGGGCTCGCAGGGTTTGGGCTTGGAGTGTAATCTTCTTGCAGTCGTAAAAATACTTTTCTATTAATCCCATTAAAGTCTGATTATACCAGTGTCTCCTGAAGGCTGGCCATGCCCTCACGCCTGGCACTTGGCAGGGTAGGGGCGGCAGCCCTGGGAGGCCAGACGGACCCGTTTGCAGGGGTGCTGCAGAGACTCACCCGGGCTCACTCTCCCCGGTAGACTGGGAGCTCCTGAGGGGAGGGGCTGGCTTGCCTCTCTTCTGCAGTGCCAGACGCAGAGTAGTCACTTAGTAAATGCTTGCTGGTGACTGACTGACTGACTGACCACAGTCACAGCGGCTGACCTGGGACCCTGGAGGCTCTTTCAACACCCAGGCTGCCTCTGGCCGGGACCTCAGAGGTCATGCAGCCCAAAGTCCTCTCCCTTAAGGGCAAGTGAGCTGGTCAAGGTCACACAGATACGAAGCGGCCCAGCGACAACTCAGACTCCTTTCCCCGTGCCCTGCTTGACCTCTGCCATCCTGGGCTGCTCGGATGTCAGCCTTGGAAGTCCTCTGACTGAGATCCGAGGATCCCAAAGCATCCGTGGTGGCTCTGGCCTCTCTGGACCCTAGCTCTCCTTGTCTAGCTGCCTGGCACCTTCCTGCATGGAATCTGCTCCCTTGTCTCCTCTAATAGGCAGAGACTCCCTTCTCCCTATCTTTGTACTCCCAGGGCCTAGGACAGGACCTGTGTAGCACACAGTAGGTGCTTAAGCATTGTTTGTTGATGACTGAATGATCTCCAAGATTCAAAAGGATATTGATAGGAGAGTGAATCTAATGGAATAGTAAGGTATAATTCACTGGGAAGAATACTCAGCCTTGCCTTGGGTTCCAAGATGGGGAGGCTCAGCTAGACAGTTATGGTTCTAGAAAAGATCCGAGGCTCTTAGTGGGGTGATGGAGCGAGTTCCCCCAGCCTCTGCCTCGTTGGACTTTATCTGTAGTGCCGGGACCTGTCTTGGCCCTATGGGGTAAGGACGGGCTGGAGAGTGTCCACGGAGGGATGGCCACGCAGTGACGGGGCTTGAGTCTGCGTCACCTGGGACTCCGTGGAAGGATCTGGGGGAGGGTGCTAGTTGGGAGCAGAGAAGCCTTAGAGAGGGGCTGTCTGGTGGGAGGCTCATCTCCCCCCTCCTCGTCCCCCCAGCACGTCGACATCCAGAACTTCTCGTCCAGCTGGAGTGACGGCATGGCCTTCTGTGCACTGGTGCACAATTTCTTCCCTGAGGCCTTCGATTATGGCCAGCTGAGCCCCCAGAACCGGCGTCACAACTTTGAGGTGGCCTTTTCGTCAGCAGAGTACGTAGCCCAGCCCCGCTGGCCATCACCGGCCCAGAGCGTGGAGGCCGAGGTGTGGGGGGTGACCAGGTCGAGGCTGCCCGTGGGCCCCCCAGCTGGAGACAGGCAGCCTGCCCCTGCCCCTGGCCCTGCGTGGGCAGAACAGATCCCCCCCGCAGCTTCCCTGCCTTCTCCATCCTTCTGCCAGGCCCGGAGCCCTGGGCCTCCCCAGCTCGCTTTCTGCTGCTCTTCCAGTCCCCAGGTCAGGCCAGGACCGGCTGAGGCCTCCCGGGGCCTCGGCATCACCTCCCTCCCAGCCCCCAGGACTTTGAGGGGCAGGGACAAAAACGTCCCTGTTCCCACCCTGACTCCTTCTGGCCTTTGCTGCCCCTCCTCCCTGGTCCCTTTCCTCCAGTACTGAGGCTTCTGTCCCCCACCTCGATGGGGGGCCAGCATTTTCTCCAGTCTGTACAGGGGGCTTCCAGCCGGACAGTAGGAGCTTTGGGCCTGGGCCACGCTTGCCCGGCCTCGACCGTCCGACCAGCCCCATCCGTGGCCCGCACGCCAGGTGGCCCCCTCCCTGCCCCTTTCCTCCTCTCTCTCCTCCTCTGTCTCTCTCTACCTTTCCTTCTGTCCCCTGAAGCTTTCTGCACCCCTGTGTCCACTCAATATGCCAGCCCGAGATTCCAAATGGAGCCGATGGGCTGGGAGGGGGGCCATGCTGGCCCCCTGGCCCTCCCCTTTCCCTGGGCCTATATACGCCGGATATATAGCAAAGAGAGCAAGTCCGCTCTTGTTTGGAATCATCTGCTGTTGAAGCACACGGCCCCTGGCCCGCTCTGATCACACCTCACCCCAACCTGACCCTTCCCTTCCCTGCCCATGAGCCTGGATGTTTTCCTTTGCCCCTCTCTTCCCCTCCCCCTCCCCCTCCACATCCTCTCACGCCTCCCTCCCAGCCTCACTCACCCCCACACCCACCCCGGGGGTAGAGGGGGGCACCACCCCTTTGTCCTTCCCCAGCCTTCCCTCGGAGCCCTGCCCCCTGCACCTGGTGCCTGGCCCCCCACCCTGTGCCCTCCCCCACCAGCCCTGTATGCATCGCACACCAGTAGAGGACAGTAGCACCCCCCCCAGCCCGGAGAGCATGTGGGGGGTGGCGTGGGCTGACCCCAGCAGCGCGTGGAGAATGTCACCGGATTTACGGATCTCTCTTTCTGTTTCTCTCTCTCCCCCCTCTCTCCTCTCTCTTCCCTCTGTCCTCCCCCCTCTCTCTCTCCCACCCTTCCTCACCCCTCCCCTCTGCCCACCCCGGTCGGGCCTGTCTCCGGCTGGGCTGGCTGTGTGCCCCCACACCCCCAGGACCCACGCTGACTGCCCCCAGTTGCTGGACACAGAGGACATGGTGAGGATGCGCGAACCAGACTGGAAGTGCGTTTACACGTACATCCAGGAGTTTTACCGCTGCCTGGTTCAGAAGGGGCTGGTAAAAACCAAAAAATCCTAAACCCCCCAGCTGAGAGACCCACGGTGAGAAAGCCTTCCCAGCCCGGCCCTGCTCCAGGGAGACAGCAGGGCTTGGGGGGGGAGGGGCACCTGCGGTGGAGGGAGGAGGGAGGGGGCCTTCCTCTGGCCACAGGATGCCTGCTGAAGGGGGAGGGAGCTAATGCCAGCATCACTGGAAGCCTGACCTGGCAGTGCTTGGAGATCTGGGGATCCCTGACTAAGAATGCCAAAGCTGGGAGGGAGCTTAGAACAGGGGATGTGAGAGCTGGGAGGGAGCTTAGACAGGGGATGTCAGAGCTGGGAGGGGCCTTAGAACAGGGGATGTCAGAGCTGAAAGGAGCCTTAGAACAGGGAATGTCAGGGCTGGAAAGGACCTTAGAACAGAGAATGTCAAAGCTGGGAGGGGCTTTAGAACAGGGGATATCAGAGAGGAGAGGAGCCTTAGAACAGAGGATGGCAGAGAGGGGAGGGGCCTTGGAGATCATCTCTTCCATCCATCTCCTTTTCAGAAGAAGAGGCTGTAGGGAGAACTTGTGCAACCCCACATCCAAATAGTGACAGGCTTGACACTAGAAGCCCCCTGTCTGGGGGATCCAGAGCCGGGACTGAGTGCTAAGGGAGAGTAGGGAACAGCTTTCTCAAGCGGACAGGGCCAATGCCCTCCCACCCCCGTTTTTCCAGATGATGAAACAGATCCAGAGAAGGGTTTGGCCTGGCCATGGGCACATAATGAATTGGTTGAGGGCAGACAAAGTGGGCACAGCAGAGGTGCCCCCTGAGGCCCCAGCCCTGGGTTCTGAGGCGCCTTGGGGCCAGAGGGTGGAGGCTGCCCCCCCCTTTGGCGGGCTGCTGTGGCAGCTGTGGGTGTGGGTAGTGAGCTCCCATCACCATTAGACTTGGGAGTGGCCAGGGCGCACCTGGGATAAGGGCTCACCTGTCCTAGGCAGGCTCCCCAGGCTGGTACCCAGGGCCACCCACCCCCAAAGGCTGGCCCTGCCACTGCTCTCTGTCATATATGGGCAGGGTAGCGGGCCCTTGGGGAGCTCTGTAAACCCTGGAAAGTGTGACTCAGCCCCAGGCCTCCTGACGTCTGATGCTGTTTGGCTCTCCTCACCAAGGGCATCCCGAGCCCATAAGCCTACGCTCCCCAGGCCTCCCAGCATAAACAATGGCTTTATAAGGCTGAGAGGGAAGACTCATGTGAGCCAGGGAGGCAAGGGCCAGGGAAGACTCCCAGGACAGACCTGGCTCAGAAACCTTGGGAAAGGAGGGGGCAGGGTCACTGTCCACAGCCAGCTGGAACAGGAGGTTTTCAGCCCCAGAGCACTAAAGCTGGGAGGGGTCTTAGGCCTTCCCCCACCAAAGCCTGAAAGGGCCTCCTATGTGCCGGCTCGGTGCTAAGTGCTTTGCAAATATTATCTCACTTGAGCTAGGGAGCCTTAAAACAGGGGATGTCAGAGCTGAGAGGGGTCTTAGAACAGAGGATGTCAGAGCAAGGAAAGAAACCTGAAAGGGCCTCTTATGTGCTGTCATGATGCTAAGTGCTTTGTAGATGTTACCTCAGTTGAGCTAGAGAGCTTTAGAACAGGGGGTGTCAGAGTCAGGAGGGGCCTCAGAACAAGGGAAGTCAGGGCTAGGGGAGAAGCCTGAGAATACAGAATGTATGTTAGCTTCAGAAGCTCCTTCATGTAAAAGATGAGAGAAACTGAGGCATCCAATAAGGATGTGATTTGACTACCATCTCCCAGCCAGTTAGTAGCAGAGCCAGGACTAGAGGCCAGTTCTGGTTCTGGGCCCAGACTCTCTGCTCTAGCGCTCTAGGCCAGGGCTCTGGTCCCTTTTCCTTCTTGTCATAGGTCAGGAGCCCTCTTCTTGCCCCATGGCCCTGCCTCCTGCTCCCCTCCTCAGCTGGGCCTGTGTATCAGACCCTACCACCAGCTTGTGCCCTGTCCCCCTCCACCCTGCAAGACCAGAAGCTGCCTGACTGTGCCACCCCTCTGCCCCAGGCCTCCCTAGCTGGGTGTGAGCCTTCAGGGAAACACAGCAGAACTGGCCTTCTGGGAGCCAGAGAGCTCTCCTTTGCTAGGGCCAGGGTGGCCGAGAGTTAGGCCTGCTGGTCAGCCCAGCCCAAGACAGCCATTCCAGAAAACCCACCGGCTCAAGGGGTGTAGTTGGGGCCTCACAGCCAGCCCTGGGGCCTGGCTTCCCTGGAAGTGGCTCCGGTCTATCATCGGTAGTAGAGGGGAGAGACAGCCCCTCTCCCCTGCCCAGGACCTTCATACCAGGATGGGGAACCGAGGCCCTGAGGGGGGCCCACAAGCACAACGGGCTCTGGCTCTATACAAACTTAGTTGCTTAGCAACGGTTGAGTCCCCAAACAAAGATAAACACACGTCCTCACACTGTTGATTGATTTAGCAGAGGACGGCCAGGTCTGGGACCTATTCCCAAAGAGGGTGATGGGTGTCCTGGGCCAAGAGTCAGGAGATGTGGGTAATTAGTCCTCCATCTGCCACTAGCTCACTGGAAGTGTTGGCCAGTGCCCTTCCCCTTCCTTAGCCCTAGTTTTAGCTTGTTAAATGGATTCGGTGTTCCTGTAAGCTTCCTGGGCCTCAGTTTCCTCATCTGTAAAATAAGGAGGGTCCCAGCTCCAGAGCTGGGACTGTTGCCACGGGACTGTTGCCCCATCATTCAGTCACATCCGACTCTTCACAGCCCCTTGCACTCTACTGTCTGTGGGCTTTTCTTGGCAAAGATAGGGGAGTGATTTGCCATTCCCTTCTCCAGGCCAAAGGTCCCCATTTCAAAAGAGGGAAGCCAATAGAGTCTGTAAACTCGAAGCCAGGGAGTAAAACTCAAGAACGTGTTATTAAAAGGATGGTGTGTGAGCATATAGAAAGGGAAGCAGTGATCAGGGCCAGCTCATCGGACCTCCTTCGGCTGGTGGCGCAGGAAGCCAAGTTGCTAGACTGGGGAAGGCTGGAGAAAGATCATCCCTCTATTTGCCAGGCATTTGATAAGAGTTCTTCAAGGTCTCGTGGAAATGATGGAGGGAGTAGCTAGGTGCTTTCAGAACCAGGCCCAAAGAGCTTTCATTAATGATTCCATGACAGCTTGGAAGGGCCTTTGTGAAGGCCTTCAGGGATCTCTGGTTAGCCAGAAGTCAAGACTTCAATGGCAGGGATGGCACCTTCATCACATTAGCGGGTGACATGAACTGGAGAGACAATTCATGGATTCACTGATTTTAGACCTGGAGATCCCCAAATCCATCCCCCTCGTTTTGCAGATGGGGTAACTGAGGCTCAGAGTGGGGGCTTGCCCATGGTCACAGTGTGGCCTCCAAATCCAGTGCCCTCCCCAGGCTGCCTCTTCATTCAATGTGAATTTAATACGGCTTACAGTCAGGGTCCAGAAAGGTCTCAAACGCCCCTAGAATGTTGGGCAGAATCAAATCAGAGGAAAGTGAATAGAGATGGATTCAGAGGCTTCTAAGTGTGCAAAAGCAACCCCTTCCTGAGCACAGGATAGAGGAGGTGTGGGCACATAGAAGTTCCAGGAGAGAAAGAGCTGCCCGTTGCAGTGGACCACAAGCTCGACATGTGGCATCATGGAAAAGACACTGGGCATGGAATTGAGGAAATGGTGCTTGAAGTCTGGCTCTGATACTTGCAATGGGCAAGTTCTTTCCCCCTGAGATTCCACTTAAAAATGGGGCCATGACCCATTTCCCGGGCTTGTTAAAAAGGAAGTGATTTGCAACCTTTTAGACACTAGAGATGAAAGATGATGGTCACAGTGTGGCGGCTGATGTGGTCCTGGGTGCCCTGAAGAGGGAGGTGCCCGCCCCTCTGGCCTCTGCTCTGCTCACCACTCATCAGAAGGGTTGCGTCTGGTGGTGGGCGCCTTTATGCCGTGACATGGAGAGGCTGGAGAAGGTCCAGCGGAGGGCAGCTGAAAGGCGCCAGGGGAGAATGGCGGCGGTCCTCGAGTAAGGGAGGCTGCCTTAGGAGGAGGGCTCAGCTTAGCTCTGCTTGCCCCCAACCCCGACCCCGGCAAAACTAGAAGTGACGGGGAAGATGGCATGAGGCAGATTTCACTGTATGAAAGGGGGAGACTGTGGGGTGTGTGGGCTGCCCCAGGAGGTGATGGCATCTGAACAGCAATGGCCATAACCACTGATAGGCTCAGAGCAGGGGCTGCACCTGGGATTTCATCAACAATAATGGCTAACGTTTCTCTGGTGCCCACTGTGTTCCGGGCACTGGGCCAAGGCTCATAAGAACCCAAGGAGGTAGGTGCTGCCCCGTTTTTCAGATGGGGAAACTGGAGCAAGCAGAGGTTAGTGACTTGGCCAGAGGTCACCCAGTTAGCAAGCATCTGAGGCAGGCTTTGAACTCAGGTCTTTGTGACTTCAGGTGCAACACTAACCCTTAGGGAACCCAGCCGCCTCCTGAAGCGGTTGGATTAGATGGCTCTAAGGCACCCTTCTGATCAGCTTCAGGGCCCTGGCAGTGGCTGAGCTTCCTCACGACAGGCATGGAAGGAGCTGGAGCTGCTTCTAGGGGTCACCAGTGTTGACTCCTGGTCAGGGTCCTTCCAACCTACTCCCCCCCTCCCCACCCCTGCCATGGGCCACTCCACATGTCTATACCTGTGAGCTAGAGAAGAGCTGGGGGGAGGGGGACAGGCGCTTTCCAGCCTCCAGAGCCAGCTGGAATATCGGGGGATGGTCTTGCCTGCTGAGGCCCTGGCTGCCTCCTGGCCAGTCCCTCCCTCCCAGAGGAAGGAAAGGTGAGGGCTCGAGGACAAATCTCGAAGCCGCCTGAGGGTGCAGGGTCGGCAAGGCCTTTGTTCTTTGGCTAATGCCCCCCACCCCGCCCCACTCCAGTGTCAAAGGTTTCTAGATGGGAGGGATCTTGATCATCTCATCGAGCCCCTTTCCCCATTTTACAGAGGAGGAAGCTGAGGCCCAGGGGAGGGATTGGCCCGGAAAGTTGAGTGGTAGATGCTGGATTTGAGCACTGGCTTCTGCCTGCCATCCGGGGCCGGCAGGAGGGGCAGACAGGGCAGAATCAGCCCCATCACTCACCCCGTTTCCCCCCCCCCCGCAGGGTGCTGGTGGATTGCGTGCCCCTGGTGGACGTGGAAGACATGATGATCATGGGCAAGAAGCCAGACCCCAAGTGCGTCTTCACCTACGTGCAGTCCCTTTACAACCACCTGAGACGGCATGAGCTGCGTTTACGGCAAAAAGAACTCTAGGGTGTCCCCATCGTCCCCGTGTGCCTGCCCCCCCAGAGCAGAGGAGGCCTTCCCCTGCCCTTCTCCCCCCGTGTATGGATAAAGAAAGGCTCACAGGACGGCACGCTACTTCCCTGGCACCGGCACCCCCTCACCGCACTGCTGTGCCACCCCACAGCTCCAGCGCCCGCTACTCACAGCGTTTCACTGTGTTTTTATAAATTATTCGTTCTCAGCCCGACTGCCTTGTCCTTGGACCACCACCCAGGCTCCTGACACGCAGGAGGAGGGGTTTCCTCAATGCATAGTGAGTTTCTTGTCACCCACCTCTTGTCAAAGAGGCAGCTGGGCACCTGCGGGGGCACTCCATAATCCAGGGTCAGTCGACAGGTGACATAGGTCCCTGACCTGCAAGCCAGGAAGTCTTGGTGACAGCCATTCATCAGAGCAAAGGCTGGCAAAGGGCCTTACAACGGGCAGAGGAGCCATGACTTGCTTAAGGTCACACAGCTAGTCAGTGTCAGAGCTACAACTTGAACCCAGGACCACTCTCTTCAGGGCCCCGAGACCTCGGCCTGGATGCCCATTCTATGCCAGCCCCATCCCACTTACTTCCACAGTGGCCTCAGGGAGCCCTCAGACACACACATTGGACTGTGTTGGGCCCCTGGGGGGGGAGGGGTTATGTCCAGCCCCACTCCCGCACTACCTCCCCCCAGTCCCACAGTCACACCTGCAGAGAGCTGGATAAGGGCCGAGTGGGATCCTGACTGGGGACGCCAGGTTTTGACCCTGATCACAGGACCATCAGTCTAGAGTTGGAGGGGCCCTCAGGGACCTTTTACTCCAACCCTCTCCTTTTACAGATGCCAGAGGTGGAGAGATTTGTCCAAGGTCACTCAGGATGAATCCTGGTGGTTGTTTTTTTAGGTGGGGGGAGGCCATCAGGGTTCAGTGACTTGCTCAGGATCCCACAGCTAGTAAGTGTCTGAGGCTGGATTTGAACTCTAGTCCTCCCGACTCCAGGGCTGGTGAATGCACCTCCACCCCACCCAGCTGCCCCTGAGACTGAATCTTGATGGGGTATCCGGGGAGTGGGGGAGCTGTGAGGAGGGGATGTCAGTCACCTCAGCCTGAGCATTCCAGCCCAGTTTCCTAAGTCCCTGGTACCCCCTGAGGCAGTGACTGGAAGAAGGGCAAAGACAGACACACAGACATTGCCAGTTGGAATAGGGGCTTTTACTGCATAAGGAAAAGGGAAAAACCTCAGCCCTAGCCTCCACACACACCCCTGGCCTGGCCCCAAGGACACAGCCATCTGCCCTCAGCAAGAGTAGCCCTTTGAGCTGAGAGCTTCATCCTGTCCTTAGTGGCTGGACGGGGGAGGCGGGGTGCCGTCGACAGGGTCCCAATGCCACCCATGCAGATCAACTTGCCGCTTCTCCTGGACTTGAGACATTCACCATTCTCCCACTCTCCCACCCCCAAGGGGTACTGCCAGGCAAGTTGAGGTGTGTGGGTGACCCCAGCAGTGTGCCAGCCCTCCCCTTGGGGGCATGGGCATGGCCCTGGCACCTCAGCTCCAGTTAGGGAGCCTGGCATGCAACACCATTTCACAGCTGCCAGCTGGGGTGCGAGCCACAGTCCCTGAGCCTAGAGTTCCAGGCGTGTGGGCTTTGAATCCCCATGGGGCACTGGACTGGGTGCCTCTGCTTCAGAGGGCCTAGCTGGGGCCTTCTGGTACTCGGGAGGTACGGGGGCATCTGGGCTCGATTTTCGATAGAAGCCCAAGTCCTTCAACATCTGGTTAATCTCCTCCCGGGTCATGTCATGGAGGGGGATTCTCTGTAAAGGAGCAAAAAGGTCAGAGTGGCCCCCAGAATGATAGGAATCCACAGACCAGACTCTCACCCAGAGCCCCCAACAGCTGTGCTGTCTCCACAGAGAGGTCCTTCCCCACCCTCACCCCACATATGTGTATGGGATGGGGTCTCACCTCAAGCTCCTTATACTGGTGACCCAACAGCACAAGCTCAGGGTCGGCTCCAGGGAGGTATTTCGTCACCAGGTTGTGGCTAGTAGTGGAGTTAAGGAAGGAGTAGGGGGAGAGAGATAGAAGAGCTTGGGGAGTGGGAGGCCTGCCCCTGCCCCACCTTAATCTGGAGGGGCCTGGATTGGGGAATAGGGAGGTTAGCTGCCCCCTTAGCCCCATCAGAAGTACAGTAAATGGAGGGAGGCAGAGCTGGCCACCCCATTGCTCAGGTCAGAGGCATGAGGGGCTGCTAGCTACCTTTGCCCCAGTCAGAGGCGCTGTAAGTGGGAGGCCAGGGGGCTAATTCCAAGGGGACCCCGGGGAAAAACCCTTTGCCCTAGTCAGATTTTTACTTTATTCCAAGCACCCTTGCCCCTCATTAGACGCTTTCTGGAGAACCATCCATCTGGTGCCCAAGGCTATCCTTACAGAGCCTCAGGGAACGGGGGTGATCCCTGAGGGGAACTGAGAGTCAGCAGCTGTCGAGAAAACAGAGGGGCCGGTAAGAGCTGTCCAGGGCTCCTGCTGACCCTTGCCACACCCCCAACACACCCAGAGACCGCCTGCTGAGAAAAGATACTAGTAAGGGACATCCTGGGTGACGAAGAGTTTCACCTGGAGGACAAAGAGGAAGTGGAAGTGACCGTTAGCAACCCCCAAACATAACCCACCCCAGCCGCTCAGTGGGCCCCCCTTCTCCTGACCCACTCCCAGCCAGGACCCTACCTCCTTCAGCCGATTCAGCTGTCATCCTCCACACGTCTGCCAGGGACAAAGCCAAAGGTCAGCCGGTCTCCTTCCTAAGTCCCACAGCCACCCTAATCCCCACCCCCAGCAGCCACCCAACATCTAGGGCTTATAGGGATGGCCCTCGCAAACTCCAAAGGACCAGATGAATACCATTGCAATTATTTTTAACTCTCTGGTTGTCATGGCAACCCAACATGCCATCCCTGGTTTCCAGGGAAACACAGGAAGGGAGGGGTACCTTCCTCAAGGGCAGCATCTATGCTATGGAAAAGGACCTCAGTGATGAGAGTAATGGGCCAGGGATTTGGGGAACTTCACTCTACCGATGCAGGTGGGTACTTTTCTAGTCTTAGGGCAGGGGTTTCTTCACCAGAGGCCTACGGAGGACTGGGGGTGCAGGGGAAGGGAAGGTCTGTGAAGCCATCTACCTAATGTGATGCAGCTAAGGCCCGAGGTCACTGTTTTTTTGCAGGGTCGGCTCTCTTTTCCTAATTTCAGAGAGAGGAAATTGAGGCCCAGAGAAGAGATTTGCCCATAGTCATTCGACTAGTGTCAATGCACGGATGGGGGGAGGGGTGGCACCCAATCCACTTAAGGGGAAACTGAGGCCCAGAAAAGGGCAATGCCTTGCCCAAGGTCACAGAGATCAAGTGCATAGCAGAACCAGGATCTGAACCTAGGGCTTCTAACTCCAAGTCCCAGGACTGGCCTGACGGCCTCTTTATACACTGCCCCTATACCTAGGTGAGGGCATTCAGCAGACTTTAATGAATAGGGAAACATGCCCCAGGCTGGATTAAGAGCTCCCTTGAACTCCTGTAAGAGGGGATTCTTGAGGCCCAGGCTCACAAGAGACAAATGGGTGTCTGCCAGCTCCCCTCCCCACCCCCATCTCATCAGCCTCTTGTGGTGTGAGCATTCAACCCTGGAAAGAACCACAGGTGCAGAGTGGGCACCTTTGGGGGGGCCAGCAAAGATGGGGCCCCATGGGGACTTCCTGTGGGGAGAGGAAGCCCTAGGGAGGGCTGCCACATGGTCCCTCCACCTGCCTCAGAGACAGGTCCCTCCCCCAGGGCCTGGTTCCATGTTCTCCTCTCCCCTAGGCAGGGAGGCTGGGGAAAACCAGGGGCTGGAGGGGGGGGACTTTCTTCTAGCCCCATGGAGAGATGGAGCTGGTCACTGCTGCCTCTTCACCTCCCCTCCCCCAGTCCTTTCCCTGCACTCAAGTACTAGAATAAAAACACAGTGGCTGTCACTTCACGGTACCCTTGATTCACACCAGGCCATTCAGGCCAACCCCTTCACTTTACAGATGAGGAAACAGGCCCAGAGAAGGACAGTGACTTGCCCCAGGTCACACAGCTAGTATGAGAAGTAGGATTCGAACCCAGACCTTCTGACTTTCAGAGCCAGCCATTGTGTGGTCCCCTGCCCCATCTCTCCTGACTCCAAGGTCAATTGCAACATCCGTAAGAGGCCTTAGGGCATAGAATGGCAAAGTAGGAGGGACCCCTCCACATCTCCTTTCCCAAGATCCCCCAGTGAGTTCAGTGGTTAGATCAGAGGTCTCCTGAACTTGCAGGGAATGACTGCTCCACACACTCCCAGAGGCTGCATCCTTGGACCTGTGGAACTGTCCAGCTCAGCTCGGGCTTTCTCCGAGGTTGTGTGCAACCCACAGCCCCTCCTCATCCCCAAGGCCTTCCCTCCCAGACCCTGCCTCAAAGCTAGGGTTACTAAGTCAAGGGGTGAAAACAGGAAGCCCCAGAGAAGAGATCTCCAGGCTTCAGGGCAGTGAAACAGAGGTAGTCCACAGAGAGGAAGAGGAAGATCCCAAGATCCAGAGGGGCAGGAGAGGAGAGGAACTGGAGGCAGAGGAAGAGGCTGGAGTCAAAAGCCATAATGAGAGGCTTCTGGGATGGGAGGTCCTGAAGGACTGGGTTCTGGGGAAGGAATAGAGGCTGAGAGGAGTGGGAGGTTGAGTCAGAAGAGAGAAAGGAAGGGGGGGCAGATCTGTTTGGGAAGGAATGGGAGGAGGTGGAGTTGTGTGGGAGTTGTGTATGAGGATCAGAGCCCAGGAGGGCACTGGGGGCCTCAGGGAGAGACGATAATGTTGTTTAGAGAGGGGAGTACCCAGAGAATCGGGTAGGAAAGTACAGGGATGTTGTGGGAGCGGTTTCTGGGAGTGGAGGGATGGGGGAGGGATGTCAGGCAGCTCCTCAGTCCCGAGTAGGGGAGAGGGAGGGGAAAATGAGGTCCAGGTGGCGTTCTGGTGGGACCGGGGCATACTGCAGAGGGGCTGGGAGGCCCAGGGAGGAGTGGAGTGCCCGGGTTGGAGGGGGTGTTCTGGAGGGACGGGGGCATATTGCGGGGGGGGGGGTTGGGAGGCCCAGGGAGAAGTGGAGGGCCCCGGGGTGAGATTTTGGAGGGACGGGAGCCTCAGGGAAGGATGGGGA